GATTTTATTCTTAATCATCATTACTTCCACAATTGCTTATAACCTTTAACTCAAAAAAAAGGATAATTGTATATTTAAAGGCAATACAGTATTACCATACAAAATAAATATTAAAAAGAAAAAAAATTAATTTGATTTTAGTAATTTTAAATATGTAGGATAAAAACTATGAGTATTTAGTAAATAGTTAAGGTAATATTGCTTAATTTAATCTTTAAAATTGATTTTATAAGATTTTAAAATAATAATCAGTAATTATTTTCATAATAAATTTTTTAACTATAAAGATAAACTATGTATTTTTTTTAGTTTATTTATAATTAATTCTAGCATGAATTTTTATATTAAAATACCTAAGAAAAAAAACAATTTTAATTCCTATTCAATCTATTAGAAATTTTCTTTATTAGTAAAGAGGATTAATTTATAAATAATAAGTTTTATGTTTTATAATTTTTATTTATTTTATAAAGAGTATTTTTTAAAGCCTTATTCTTTTGGAAGGAAGGAATGACAGAATTAAAATCATAAATAAATTATCAAACGAATAAATGACGAATGAACTCAATAAATAATTTACTTGAATTTTAAACAGAATTAATATTATTTTGATTACTTTTTAAGCTTTTGCGGAAATTTATAAACAGAAAATAATTTAAATTTAATAAATAAATTGTGTGAAACATACTTAAATTGTGTTTGATTGATAGCTTATTTTAAAGATAAATAACTATAATAGTATTTAATACAGTTTACTTAATATAAATAATGCTGGGAAAATTATCAAAAATACTTTTGAGTTAATATATATAATGTTTAATTATTAAGTAGTTTTTATATATTTGAGAGCTATTTTAATTAGAAGATATTACTTGCTTGTTTGTTTTTTTGTTTGTAAATGTGTATGATTATATGTATATTTTTATATCTATTTTATATTTTAGAAAATTTTAATTACAATTAAAGGTTAAAGCTACAATCAGAATTGAAAAAATTTTTCTTGCGAAGATAGTTTTTGTTTTTTGTTTGTTTTTTTAGTTAATTTTTAATTAAAAATTATCTCTAAGAGTAATATTAGAAGCTAATTTTTTTGTGAAATTAAATTTTGAGCTAATTAGTTTGTTAATAAATAAATAAACTGCAATAATTCAATCATCTTATTCATCTTTTAATGCATTTTATTTAACTTCTCTGATTTTTTATTTTTATATGCTAATATTCTAGAGACAATCAGCGAGGTACCAAACAGCTCTATTGTAAAGAGGTGTTGATAATTCTGCAAGCTCAATACATACTTCGAAGCAGTGCTAAGCTGCTATGTAATTGCGCTAGTATTTAGCGAATATAATTCCTGCATTTAGATAATATTTGCAATTTTCAATCGAATTCTTTTTAGGTTCTAAATATCTCTTTATATCTTCTTTTAGAGTGATGTCTCTAGAAAGGATACCAAGATAGAGCTTAACAATTTTATTAGCGCTATCGATTTAAAGGGCTTTTTTAAGGCTTTCTTTTCCTTCAGATTCCTTCTCAGAGTAAATTAATTAGAGTTCAGCACATCTTATATACGCAGTGGCCTTGCATGGACTAGTTTATGTTGCTATTTAATAAATTTAAAGAGCTTATTTATAATTCTTATTTTCTTCTAAGATAGCTCCCATAGTCAAAATATTATTATAATTATTAGGGTCTGAAGAATAAACTTAACTGAAACTATCGTAAGCTTGTTTCCACATCTTCTTTTAAGAATAGTATTTTCCTAACATCAAATAAACATCTGTATTTTTGGAATCTATCTTAGCAGCATTGTTTAAAATTTCCTCTGCTTGTTAAGATTTTGCTTCATTTTAAAGATACAAATTAGCTAAATTTATCATAGCAGGCACATAATATGGGTCGAATTCAAGAGCCTTACGATAGTATTGCTCTGCTGTATCAAATTGTTATTCTCTTTGATACGTATTACCAATTTTTATGCAAGAAGCCTTATCAAGATTGTCATTGTCTAAATTATCAAAGTGATCTGGACTTTTAATAGATTGGGAACATTAATTAGACTTCAAGCTATCAGTTTAAAACAAAAGCTTGTCAGCGGGCTTTTAATTAAATTAGGATCTACGATCAGCTTCATATGTATTTGTCCTACTTAATCCTTTATAAGAGACTCCTGTTTCTTAGTTTTCATCTTATTCTTCATCATTCAAAGTTTTTATTCTTTTTTAAGCATCTTAAATTACGGAATTATTTAGCATAGTCTTAATATCAAATATTGTAAGGTTGATTGAATTTTCACAATCTAGCATTTATTTAGCTAGCTTATTTAATTCTTAGCTCATAGAAGGAATTTCTTTGTAAGTGCTGGTATCTCTTCTAATTCCATATTATTTTACAAAATCAATATGCTAACCCATCAAAATGTAAATTAAGATACCAAGACCCCAAATATCACAGGATTAGTCATAAATAATCGAGTGATCATCGAATAATGATTCATCATGATCTTCATGGAATTAGACGACAATCTTTTTGATATGAGGAGGTAAAAAAATAGGGTTGAGTTGTTAATAAAAAGATTTTTTATAGAGACAGAACTTTCCGTTAATAAGCGATGCTTTGTTAAAAATTAAAGAAGTGATTTTCAATTTATTTTGACTGTCATAAAGAATATTTTAAAAGTTAAAATCTCCTACTAGGAGATTATGTTAATGTAAATAGCTCATTCCACTTACTAGCTCTGAAATTATTTCTATTATTTAGATTTCACTCAGATGGTGTCTATATTCTATACATTAAGCTAAGCTATATTTGCACTCCTCCATAAAAATATAAGAAATACCATCTTAAATGTAGTAACTGTGAATTTAAACAATATTATCATGAATACACTTTTGGAGATTTTACGCCTCCAATTTTAATTATCTTTTATCTTGCTCATTTTAAATTGTGGCTTCAGGGCTGTGGTCAAAAATATCAAAGAGACACTCGTTTCTTAGCCTGTTGAAAAATATTTTAACAGTAAATTTTTTCATATCTTCGGTTGACTTTTCCTATACAGTAGCAATTACTTCAAAGTCTTCAAATTTTAAAATCTAAGTTATTCCGTACCCTTTTGCCTCAAGACTTTTAATAGCCTTTCTAAGTTCCAAATTTTTCTACTGGATATCAGCTTCAGATTTAAATAATTGAATTTCGTTTGTGGAAGAGATGGTCAATCTAGAGGATTTTTCTCCTTAAAAATCTATTTAACAATTACCCATTTTAAAAGAATATATTAATGAATAAATGAATATATTAAAGATTTTGGAGTTTTAGTTAATATTATTAAGATTAGAAGCAAATTTTGTTTTTGCCTTTATTTTTCTTTTTTCTAATTATTTATAAGCAAAGTTATATAACAAATTTATTTATCAATTCGTTAACTATTTCTAAATTAAGACTCATTATACATTATAAATAGAGAAAAAAATCTGAAAGAAAGCCTAAGCTTATTTTAATTAGCTATATGCCTGTGCCATACAATTAGCAAATAGATAGATAGATAACTTTATTGGGTCTTTGGTTGATACATTTGATTTTGATTTACCTTTCTATTTATCTATTTTAAAAAAAGAATATCATTTATGCCACACTTACAACTTTACCACTTATTATAAAAATTTATTTTAGCAAATGCAAAGTTAAATCTCCTTTTAAAATATGGGATATTTAATTCCAAATTTAATTGTAAAGGATTTTGCTTTATGTTTTCCTTAATATTTATGGTATTTTTATCTGTCTATTATTTTATTAAATTGTAATAGCAAATAGATTTTAGCTAAGAAAAAATTTAAACTTTATGATCAATATTATTAATATAAGAAACATCCTTACAAAATCAATAGGCATTTAGAATTAATTTTACAAATCATAAAAAAATATGACTACCTTTTTAATTTTTTTAGGAAATTCAGCTTGAAACTCAAAAAAAACCATAAAAATACTTTTAAATTTTAAAAATTAGCAGTAAAAACATCAAAAGTATTAGTTTAATTTACTGGAATTATATCTCCGTCAGCAATTTTAAGGTAAATTACTCATTTACAATTTGTGTCTAATCTTGAAAAGTTTAATAATAATTATCTCATGTATATATAAAAATTAATGACATTCATTTAATGGTAATAACTTAAAAAGAATGTATTAAAATGAATAAAATATCAAAACAATCCTAAGATAATTAAAATGTTAAATTAAATTCTATATCCAGGCTTACATTTATGTAAAAAAATAAAATCCCTAAAATAGTTTCTGCAAATTTAAATAAATACAAAATTATTAAAAACAAGTTAGTGTAAAACTTAATTATTTTTTTTTCCATTTAAAAAGATATAGACAATTAATTCAATATATTTATATTTTTTCTTAATTAATTAATAATTATTCAAAATTTATTATAGCTGAATAATAAATTCTTGAGGTAAATTTTATAAATCAGAAGTAAATAGGCATACTAAATATAGTACTAAAAAGTTTTTATTTATATTAAAAAAATTGCATGCTTTTTTCTTGTAAAATTTTAATTATATGACTAAATAACTAAGTCAAAGAAATAATAGTTCATTTAAGAAAAATTTGTTCTACTGAGAATCTTAGTATGAGATATACACACATTTACTTGAATAATTTTTAAAATAGATTTTTTCAAAGTTAATTTTCATTCATATAATATTATTAAATTTATGTAAATATAATTTCCCTTAAAATTCTGATCTACATATTAGTTTAAGATAAACATTCATTAATTCATTCTTTAAGAATATGCCTATATGTAAAACTTTCAAAGAATCTGTAAAAAAATATATTAATTATCAAAATTCTCCACTGATCTTAATAATCAAACTTAATTTCAAAATCTGAGTTGGAAGTTAAAGTAAAATAGATTTTTATAACATCTTCCTTCATTAGTTTATAATTATCAGTAGCAATATGCTTTGAATTTTCGTTGGCATAAATAATTAAAAAAAATATAATCTTTTCATTAAATTTGAGTCATTTAACTATTAAATAAAGATATATTAACATGAAAGAATAAATAATATTTCAATTTTTTTTAAAAATAGCTTTTAAATTTTGATTTTTGTTATGTCAATTAAATCTTCTCTTTTAAAAATTGATTCTTATTTTTCGCCAATCATATTTTGGATTAAGTGGAAAATATATATATGCTTAATTAAAAATTTTCAAATGAAAATAAAGTTGCTAAATTTAAAAAGTAATAGACCAAAAAAAGTGAATTTATCAAAATTATTTAGTTAAAAAAGTAAATTAATGTTTTGGAAAATAATAACTTTTCAAATTTATTCATTTTAAATAATATTTAGTCGGCTTTTATAAGACTGAATGATTTAAAAAAATAATAAATCCTTTAAAAAATTGAACTGAAATGTTTAAAAATCAAATTTATTGTTAAATTTAAAAGCTGAAATACTTAATTGTTAAAAAGTAAACCATCTCCACATAAAAAATTTCATTTTATGAGAAAATTTAAAATGCTTCAAAATTATTATAATAGGAAAATAAGATAACCTTTTGTATAATATTATTTAAATGAAAAGTTAAAGGCTATTTCATCAAAAAAATATTTACTATAAATACTCATATATATACTACAAACTCAGCATCTATTATAAATATTTTGTATTTATTATTTTGAAAATTTATAATTAACAGATAATTCTAACTTTAAAAATTAATCCATATTTATGAATGATCATTTATTTGCATTTTGAAAATCTCATTTTTTATCTTTTCTTTTAAAAAAGCATTACTAATTTAAAATGATAAAAATTCTTTTTTTCACAAAGATCAATTTTTGTTGGAAATTTAAAAATATTAAATAAATTAATTCTAATTATAAATTGAAATATAACAATAGATTTAATAAAAAAGATTGTAATAAAAACACAAAACTATAATCTTAAATTTACATATTTTTATTTAGGATTTAGGTTTATATTTTCTATTCATCCCTCCCAAATCTAATATTCTTTTATTTAAAATAAAATATAAAAAATATCAAATATATGTGTTGGATTATTCAGACTATTATGAGATCATAAAAAACTTAACTATTTGATGATAATGATGAAATTATATTATTAGAAGAATAAATTGGTCTATATAATCTGATTGTGCTATTTGTATAATTAAATATATTAATAAAATGATTTAAAAATTATTACCTAGATTTTAGTATTAACTTAACCCATAATTAAATTTACAATAAATTTAATTTATTTAAAGATTAGTATATTTTACTAATATTTTAGTTTAAATTTAAATCCATAAAATTTAAATTAATTAAATTCTAATACTAATCATAATATTGTTAGTATTGTAGCTAAGCTTGTAGTAAGATATCAATCTTCTAAGCTATTTTGATAGAATAGTTTAATTTTTTTAAATTTATTGATACTTCAAAAATAATTTATCTTTTGCTCATAACAATTCTTCTAGAGCTTAGTTATACTAATTTGGGTAACTCTTTTTAATATAAAAATTGTTGTATAAGCTATTTTTATGATTGATATACAATAATGTATATATGTTGTAAATAATCGTCTACCTTTTTTATAATTTCATAATGATTGCTGATTTTAAAAAACTTATATTAAATTCGGTTCAAACCTAATAACATTCTTTAAAACATAATATATGGTCCCTCCCTATTATATATACAAAAAATAGTTGATTTCTCATCTATATTTTATTATAAAATGTAATAAAAATTAATCAATTGTTTTCATTTTAGATTTTTATTCTTTCTATCTTTGTGGAAACTAAAAAATAAAAAAAAATAATTTATACTTTTTCAGATTTTATTTTTTATTTCTCTTTTATTTGGTATGTCAGATATATCTGGCAAAAGCTATATAATAACTGACATAAAAAATTTAATATGTATTTTAAAGACAAGACTTTGTTACATATCTTATTCTATTAAATTATTTTAAGATAAGTGAAAAATTGTTTTTGAACAAAACTTTTTATTCAATTAATAAGAACTAAATAATTATCAAAAGAGGTTAAAAAAATTATAATTGTATTTTATGCAATATTTTCAATCAGAATATAAATCATATAAAACTAGCTAAGGATAGATAGGTAAAAAAAATTGTTAATGCTTGAGGAATCCGTTAATTTGAAAAATTGATTGAATTATTTTTTTGAAGATAATAGTTTGCTTTTCATTTAATTTTTAAAAATAAATAAAAATATTATAATGACCTTATTATATTCTTTATGCTAATGAGTTTGATAGTTCTTTGTTATCTATTCTTTCAAGACAATAATTGAAAAAATGATGTTCAATTTATATATCATTTTCTATAACTTATTTAAAATGATACTAGCAGTAATGCATATTTATTTACATATAAGGAAGGGTATAAATATTATTTGAAGCATCTTCTATTAGTTTGTAGTACCACATACATAATTTATTATTGCACTGATTATTTTGTTAATTTTATGTCTAGTTAGCAAATCCTTGATTAAATTAACTTGTAAAATATATCATCACTTAATTACTTTTTATACTTTAATTATGTTTAATATCTTGAGCATATGTATCGATACTTTAGATAGAAGATAAAAAATAAACTTTATGTTAAAATAGCTCATTATACAGCATTGGTATATAAATAACTAAGAATATTGCGTTTAATAAAATTGTAGATATATTTGTAATATTTTATAGATGGTGATGATTCACAGAGTATATGCTATCAACAAAAGTTAAAAATATCACAAAATTTAGTAATTTTCCATAAAAATTAATAATCACTAAGTATTTACTCATAGGTTTAATATCCTTAATCGATTCTGTAGTGTTGAAGATAATATTAGCTATATTTTCAATTAAGATATTTGATGGATCGAATTTAGATGAGTAATAATAAATAAACATTTGTTATGTTAAAAGAATTGCTAAAGTGTAGAATCCTAGATTAATTTAATTGTTATCTTCCAATGTTAGCATGCAGCTTATTGTGATTAAATATGTTAGATAGCTAATAAAATATTTAACAAAATCTTTAAGACTCTTTTAGATAGAATTATTAATTTCAAAGTAGTAAATAATACTTAATAAAAATCCTAAAGTAAAGTAGGAGGAAAAGCATAGATTTATGATTTGTAAGCTAATAATATTATTCAATACCTAAATTCCATAGAAAGCAATCATTTAAATAATAAAAAGTATAAATTTCATTGATATGTTAAAGACTAAATAATCATTCACTTTTTCATCTGAAACTGCGAACATAAACGCATTGAATTATCTTTTATTTAAAGCAATTAAAAAGATGACTAGCTTTTCTAAACAGAAAAAGCAGCAAAAAATAATTGGATAGAGTAAAAAATCACCTTATAAAAGTTTAATTGAAACAGCAATATTTAAGATATCGACAATTATAGGACCAGCAATAGCAACAAAAGTTTAAATTGACTCTAGTTTGATGAGTTCCTTCATTAATTATAATTTCGCTTTAATTTATAATAATATTTTTGTAATTTTTAATAAATAATAACAAGATAATTAATTAGTTTGTTACTTTATAAATCAAATATAAACAATAGACTAATATTAATAACGAACCATTGATTGAAATAAGTATCTTCAAGCAAGAATTTAAATTTTTATACTAGCTTTATGATATAAAGCCAAATTAATTAATTAAAAAAAGATAAGTATTTAAACAATTCAATCAATTTAATGTTTTCATTTTAAGCTAATCTTTTACCTACAAATTACAACATAAAATAAGTATCTTTAAGCATAGAATTATTTATTTTTTTTATTGATTCATTAATTCTAGCGACTTTTTTTATGTCATAATAGTAAAATATGTTAAATTCAAATAGAATGATAATACTATATATTAATAATTATAGAAGAAATTTAGTTAATCTAAATCTTAAATAAATTTAAAGGTATTTTGACCTATTTTATTTTTAATATTAGATCAATTAAAAATATTTTATTGCATCATACAAAATAAATATTTTATTACATCATAACAAATTATACTTATTTTAATAAAATAGAATTTAGTTAATTTATTATATTGAAATATTGCTTTTATATTTTAATTCACATTTTTATTTAACTTGAATTTAATTTAATTTGCTAAATTAACTTTTTGTTTAAATTACATAAAATCAAAAGTAAATTATTTATTTTTTCTATTTTTTTTATTATCAGCTCTATTTCATGAATCTATACTGTAAAGGTCAAATAGAGCTAGATCAGGTAAAATAGTAACAATAAATTTTTGGTTTTTTAAGAAAGCTAATACTTGATAAGTTTGTGAATACATTTTTCTCAGTATAGATTGCTAAGGATCATTAAGTTTGGTTAAGAGAATTTCTGTAAGTTATGTATTAATTAAACCGTTTGTTAGTCTTTCTTTTAGAATTTCAATGGGAGCAGAGGAATTTCTAAAGCTTTAATTTTAATATATTTACTCAACTTAAAGTAAATAAACAAATTCTTATTTTGAAAGAAGCTTTTAGGTGTGGTAATTACAAATGCTAAATGTATGTAAAGATAAATTAACATAAACTCTATTTTTCATTTAAAAAGAAACAGATTTTAAGAATTTATATAATAATTCACAGCCTGAGTCATTGCATTAATTTGGAATGAGTAAACTTCATTCTATGTCTTTTCTTATTGGTTAAGAGGTGGCTTAGTAATTTGTTTTAAATAAAATATCTACTTCAGAAATAAATAATGACTTTTAACAAAGATCATTAGAAATACTACGTAAATCGTCATCAGTGCTTACATAAGAACTCTTATATTTGATTGCCATGTGATAGAAAGAGTAAAGAAACGATAAAATGTAAAAACAGTTTAAAAAAAAAGCTATTACTTCATTCACAACTAGTACTTTTTAGTGTTCGTTAAGCTATTAGAAATTGTTTAATCTATCAAGAGTGTACTTGATTATTTAATATATAAGCAATGTAAAAAGAAATGACTAATTTATGAATCCACAAAGTATACTTGTCTTTTTTTAACCGTATGAAAAAAGTTAGTAAGGATGAGAGTTGCAAGCTATAGAATATAGAAGTTTGATGGAATGCTAATAATTTTGATCTCTAATTTACTTGATATTCAAAAAAAAAGATATAAGGTGAGTAACCAATATAAAAATTAAGCACATTAACCCTAAATTAAATTTCTATTCACTTATCTTTATTGTTAAGAGCGATCCTAGAGTTAGATAGAAAGCTAAATATATCACAAAAGCCTTAATACAGTCCTTGAGATTAAAGTTCTGCAAATAAGCGAACCTAAAATAAATTATGGCATAGATTGCAAACTCATAGAATCTCATAAGCACCAAAACATAAGCATTGATTGCAATATCATTAGTATCATTTTCAATCTCATAGCTTCTCAAACCAAATAAATAAATGAAATTTTAAATGCCATAAAGATATTCAGAGAAAGCCCTATATTTGAGATAATATTAAGTACTCATAGGGATTTGTTTGTAAATAATTACAAACACTACTTCTATTTAAAAGAAACAAAATACCCAAAAAATATTTCTTTTGCTATGATAAAAATCTTAATTGAAAAAGACGTACTGTGAAATCGAAACTAAAAGAATTAATCCTAAAGTTGACCATAGCATAGATTACTTATCAATTACAAATAATGAAATGGCTAAATAAAACTATAAAGCGCTTGATATTGTAGATGATATCGAAAATGCCAAGCTTGCTTTGAAATCCATTGCTTTTAATTTATTATTGATATACTTTATCACTAATTAAATTATCTAATTTTTATATTTTTCCTTTTTGTTATAATTTATTAAATCCACCTTATAAAAACGGCTATTTCTAAAATAAAAAACATAAAATCAACAATTTATTTTTAATCTAATTAAATGTTTACAAAATAAATTTATTTTTTTAGAATTATTGATTTATTTTCTTTGTTTTAAAAATATTTATAGTTTTAAATGTTTAAATTAAATATTTTATTGGAAAAATTTAAAAATCATCTAAAAATTTTAAATATTCATAATTTTACAAAAATAAAATATTAAATATTTGTTTTATAGGGGTTTTATAAGAATAAATCATATTATATAATTTAATACTCATTAAATGCTAATCAAAAAATTTTCTTTGAATATCTTTTTTATTTTATTATTTATTCGAAAATGAAATTGAGAACTTTATATGACCAATGGTGTGTAAAATAAACTTAATACTTCTTTTTTTTAAAGAATATTTAAGAAAAGGGTAAATCAAAAATATTATTTAGTTTTCAAAATTTTTTAAATTAATATCTAAAATAAGCCTTTAAAAAATAGAATATTACTCATTTTTAGTAATCAGATAAGCTAAATATGTTATAGATTGCCTTTTTGATAAATTTCTTTCAAATATGATGCAAATTTTGGCATTTATGCTTTATTTTAAAATAATTTATTACAATAAAATTAGATTTAACACTAATTAAAATATTTGAAACATTTTTAAAACTATGAGATTTTTTTTTACAGAGATTACTAATATAATTTTGATTTAAAATAAAATAATATTATTTATCTAAAAAAGAATAGAAATTTCAATCATTTTTGAAAAATATTTTTTATAAATTTTAATTTGCATAATTTCTTTAAAATATTTAGTGATAAAATATAGTTAATGATTCGATAAAATTTGTTAGTTTGTTTCAATACATTTTAGTAAGAAAACTATTCTTACATAAAAATTTGGAAATATTCAGCCAGCAAGAGTTTTAAATTTAAGTCTAAGATTATGCATTATTTATTTATAGAAATCAATATAGAATTAATTTTATTAGAAAAGTAAAAAAATAAAAACTATTGAGTAAGAAATGATTATTTGTTATTATAAATATATTAATTCTCCAAACTTAATCATAATATGTGATGTTATTTAATTAAAATATTTTACTTTTTTTAATTTTAATTGATGCTTAGAATAAAACTTTATTAAAATTAAATATCATAATATAGCTTAATAGCTTGATAAATCAATGAATAAGAATGAAATTATAAGTATATTTTTTTAGTTTGATGAAAATAAGGTTTTGCAGATTACACTTGATACAAATACAAATATTATATTAATTTACTTCTTGAATTTTACATTTGATTAATTTTATGTAAATTAGATACAAATTTTTATGTAAATTTAAACAGTGCATTAAATTAAAGGAAGCTGTAGATCGTTGGCTAAACAAACAAATAGTTCCATAGTAATTCTTATAACCAAACATAAGTTTGAAAGATTTTTTTGCAAATATTCGAAATTTATTTAAGCTTAATAATGTGAGATCTATCTCGTGATAATAAGCTAAATTTAAAATAGAAGTAATCAGAAATAAAGAATTGTTTGAGATTTTGTGTCGTCATATTTTTGATATGTGAATAGCTAGTAAACAACAGAAAGATTGATTTATTTATTTATTAGGGGTGCAATAGAGATATTTAAGTTTCTATCTATTTATTAAAAAAAATTTTGAGTCATTGTATTTTAGTATTATAAGAAAAAGCAAATAAATTTATTGTTTATAAAATGGATATCTTAGAAACTGATAGAAATGAATTAGTTAAGATTTTAAAGTTGTATTACATTTCAAATATAGTTAGGATATATCTAGTTGCTAAATTTTATATCGCAAACCATCACCTTTACTTTTTGTTATTCTGGATTCATTTCATTTTGGATAAATTCGTTGGAGTGAGCATGTAGGGATTGATGCATAAGAAAGAATAGTTGAAAATGATTTTAGCAGATATGTTTTAAATTGGATTCTTGTTTTACCAAAAAGAGTAAAATTATAATTTAGAAAGAACATACATTAGATATATTATATCAGCTCTTTTTCCTTAGATTATTTTAGACTCATTTATGCTGTTTGGTAGAAATATGATTTTCATTGAAGTTATTCCTCTCGATGCTTACTTGGCTTATCTTATTTTACTAGGCTAGCTCGTACTAGTTTCTGTTATGATAACGTAGATAGAGTTCACAGGCTATGAATACCTATTTAAATATATTTAAATTATATTGACTAGCTATCTCTCCACATTTGCTCTTATACAGATTTCTAATTATTTTCTTTTTTTAAACCTTTCTGTCATTTTGTTAAGCTCGATAATTATATTCTACATCATCAAAAGCAAAGATCAATATAGAACAGATCTTCTAAAATAATTCACTTGTGTCTTGTTTATGATTCCATTTGCGAGGATACTTTACTGTTCGCTTATACAAAAGAAATACATCACGATTATTTTGTATCACTACACTTTTCTTAGGTTTTTGATGCTTTTTATATTTGGAGTTAAAAATTTTGTAAAAAATATATATATGTATGATTAAATATCTAATGGTCTTTAGATAGTTTTGATTAATTAATTCTTAGCGTTTATCTCTAGCATAATATAATTAATCTTTGATTTTAACACATACAAAACTTCTATTTACTAATATAAAATTTTCTTTATTTATTCCAAAGACTCCTTGCAAGATGCCAACAACAGTCTTAAAGACAAGTGTGAGTTTGCAACCAATATAGAAATTTATTTAGTCAGTAAGGGCTAAATTATATCTACTCTAGGTTATAATCAGCTTTAGAATTATGAAATTTGTAAGTGCTCAAGTAACTTTTGCAAATTGCATTATGAGCTCATTAAAAATATGCTGCACCTTATCAAAAAAGGAATTTAAATCTAAGTTAAATCATTCTATGATTACCCGATGTGCTCAGAACAATAATTTCTTTTGCTATAAGAGGAAGAAATACTGCCAGAATATTACTTTAATACATTTAAAATATAAGACTTAGAGGATAAATACCTTTTCTAAAACTTAGTTGAAAGATATTTCAATGGCTACATGCATGGTGAGCTAAGCAATTATATTTTTAAACTGCTAAATAGGACAAGCTAATAAAAAATAAAAAAATTAAAATCAACAATTATGTCTGTAAATGCATTTTTAAAGCAATTAAAAAATGAAATAAACTTCCTTCCATATCAATTAGTGTTATACGATCTAAATGAAAATTGAATGCCATTTACAAAATAAAAGCTCTAAGCTATATTACTCACTTTTCTTCATAAATTTTGCACAAAATTGATCATGAATAAAATTTTAAATTAAAAATTAACTTAAAAAATTGAAATCCTAGTTTTACTAAATTAAAATATTAAAAACTAAGTTAATTGAAAAATAGATAAAGAAAATTTTACTTTTGTAATTAAATTTACTAATAATAATAATAAACTAGTTAAATAAAAAAATATTTACTTATATTGAAATATTTAAAAATTTTTGTAAAGATATATTAAATTACATCATAGAACATTCATCTATATAAATACCTTTTTTATAAATTAAAAAATTGTAGATATAAATATAAAAAAACTTCATTTATAATTTTGATAATGTGATGTAAAATGATGTTTTTTGCTTAAAAATGAGTTTTAAGTAAGTAATTTTAATTTGTATAACATAAATTTTTAAAATTTAATATTTATGAGTATTTATTCTAGAAATTAAAATGCAATAAAAGAGATTCAAAATATTTATAATAATATTATTTAGATTATTTTAAATGAAAATGAAAAAAAAAAAATTGAAAATTATTAATTAAAAAATTAAAAAGATTATTCAAAAAATTAATTAAAAATAAACTCCTTTTAACCCAATCAACCAACAAATTAATTTGCCATCTCAAATTTAAATTTATATCAGTAAAAACGAGATTATAATTTTTTCACCTAATAAGCTGAATAGCATTTCAAAAATAAGGAATTTTGAACTCTTACTAATTTGATAATAATGTAAAAACAAATTTTAACTCCAATTTTTTTCATTTGTTTGTTTTTTGTGTATTTGATAATGTGTGTAAATAAATTTTTTTAAAACAAAAATGCATTTTTAAAAATTATATTTTTATTTTAACTACTCAAAACGAACAATTGTAATTTTTATAAACTAACTAAACAGATTAAAAGCATTTAATTTAGAAAGCAATATAAGAATTATTATAAAAGAAATTAAATTTATTACATTTCTTTTCTTGTCTTTTTAATTTTTTCATTTCTTTATAATGTTTTCAAAAAATTTGTTTTAGATTAATAATTTTTAAATTATGTATGGGCTTAGCACGCACATAGGTAAAATGATAAATTAGCTTTCTAAAAATTAAAATGTCAAAATTATTTTTACATAATAATTTGATGATGAATATTTTTACATTTTTGAATAATTTTTTTCTTTTAAAAATAAAAAAACAATGATTTAAATTAAGAATCAAAATTTTTAAATAATTTAAAAAAAAATAGGACTATTTTAAATCCATACTTATAAGATATTATATATTTTTCTAGTTTTAAAGAGGCTGAATCATAATATTTTTGGTAAATTAATTTAAGATTATTTTATATTAGCAAACAAATCTTGTTTGTCAATTATAATAAAATTTTCTTATTTTTACTAAAAACAGCTTTTTAAAATGAAAAGATAAATAATAATTTTGCTATTTTTTTAATATTTTTCCAATTTTCTCTCAAAACTTAAAGATAAATGTGGTGGCCCTTTTTGTTTTAAATTTTAACGCATTTTTGTTTTATCCCTTGAACAATTTTAATTGTACTTACTTAATTACTTTTAAAAGCATACATTTTTTTTTAGCCAGCAAAAAATTTAAAAAAACTGTCTGTCACTGTTAAATTTTTTGATTTTTTCTTGAAAAATAAAATTAGTACATATTTCAGTCTTATCTCTGTCTCACTTTGATTTATCTGCATATATTTTTTATATTAGTAAACGAAATATTAAAGTATGTCTTTAAATATAAGTTTTCATATTTTCAAGGAATACTGCAAGTGGGAATAGCTAGAATGGAAAATATAATTTTATAATGAATTTATGTTTATTTAAGTTTTCATTAAACTATAATGTTAGCTTTTAAAAATAATTTTAATAAGTAAATTATCTATATTTTTACTTTTTTTTCATTTATAAAGTTGGTTACTTAAAAAGAAGTAAGTTAATTCTTTTGAAAAACATAACTTACTAAAAAACAGCTAGTTGAATTTTTAGAATTGTTGTACATTATATAAACGGAAGTTATGTAAACTGTAAACAAATTTTTTAATCTGCAATTATTGATTGACAGCTTTAAATAATTATCATTCAATATTTTAGCTTATATAAATATATAAATATTTATATAATATTATATTTATTCATATGTCTTTATATATGTAAAATACATATTACCATAAAATTCTTAAACTTAGTTAGTCCAATCTTACCATCTAAAACCTATATTAAAATAATTAATATCTTAATACAATAGAAAGTCAAAAGAGAGTCCTTTTAAAATTAAAAACATTAGCATACTAAAATAAGATGATTATCATTCAAAAAAAATGAATTTTTTATTTGAGAGACAAATATTAGCATCTAAAATTAAATAACTTTAAAAAAAAAGATAAAATTTTTTAAAAAAAACCAAAGATGCTTTAAAAGAGTAAATAATAGGCAGAAAATATGTAAGAATGAATGATTAATATTATTTGAACTCATTTTTAAATTTAATTAGAAACCAAATTTTAAAGCACAGACTGACTTGACTGTCCCTAAGTTGTAAGAATATTGTTATATTTTCCAAATGATAATCAGTAAAAAAACTTTATTACAATTTCATTCAAGTGCAACTCATCCATTTATTCAAATTACTTAACATATCATATATTCTTACTGTATACTCTTAAAAATTTTACAAAATAATAAAATCTTCAAGTAATTGATAATTACTGATTTAATTTACAAAACCAAAAGAAATAAAGTTATTAACATACAAATTTAAATGGATAATGAAAAAGAAAGTTCTATAGTTACAAATGTTAGATAAATTTAATATTTCAAAGTGATCTCTAGTATAAATAATAACATTAAAAATGCTAAGCTCAATGATGATGAAGATAAGATCAAGGTCAAATAGTGCTCTTTTAAAAATATTTCATAAGTCATGATTGAGAAATCAGATTGCGAATATTTAATATTTAAAAAATTATATTCCTAAAAATCTAATCTATAGGAAAATATTGATTAAGGCTAAGTAGAAGACTCTGATAGGCTAGAATACATGTAAAAACTAAAAGATTCACCAATAGAAAGAAACAATATATTCAAGAACATCATCTAATCTTTCTTGAAATTTATAGATTCTTAGTAAAACAAAAATTTGCTATTGATACATTTAGATAAAAGTTCTAAACAAGAAGGATTGGAGAGCTCAATTAAAGTTATAAAGAGGAAATTGAAAAAGTAAAAATGTCAATGGAATTAAAAAATTCTGAGTCTATTAAAAAGCTCGAAGCACCAAAAAATATTTTAATACTATCTTGAAAATATTTAAAATTTATGGCTCTAGCACAGTAAAGTTGAAAATAAAGAAAACACTTTTTGGTATTCTAAATTACTTTTAAGAGCTATTTAAGACCCAATTCTAAGAGAAGAAATTAAGTATTACAAAAAAAACTGATACTTCCAGAACTCTTTCAATCATAAAATAACTAGCCTTTAACTCACTCACTAGCTCACACACCAACTAAGATATCAACTAATTTTTACTAATATATATAAAGAAAATTTTTAATATATTATTTATCTAAAATACTTATGTTTATATTGCTTATATAATTTATTTTTAATTATTTACATAAAATCAATATACTTTTTTCAGAACTTCAAATTATATTTATCATAAACACACATAAGATGTTTTTCTTCTTTTTCTTGATATTTTCTTTGCTAAGATCATATATTAATAATGAATTTTACATCTCAAATATCAAATTTGCATTTTTTTTAAAAGAATTTTAATATTTTAAAGGCAATTAAGGATTAAAATTATTTTAAAGCAAAAATAAATTTAAATAAATTACTAATACTTAATTTTTATTATCATTTTATTTGATAGACTCATAAAATTTTAATACACTAAGCATGCATTATTATAATATTTATAGTTAATCACTTGCTCAAAAACATTTAAAATTGAAAACAATCTGTTGATTTTATCTATAAATAACTGAATATTAGGTCATCTGCTAATTCAATTGCTATAAAACTTATAATTTTATGATAACTATAAATAGATTTATTCGAGCATATAACAATTTATTTTCAATTAATTTTTACTGTTTGCATTTTTGGATAAATTTCAAAACTTTATCAAGTTACAATAAATTTTAGGATAAAGTGTATTAATTAGATATAATAAATAAAGTAGTTAAACCGAGATTTTTACCATAAAAACTGAAAGAATATTTACATAAAATGGACAAAATATCTCTAAAAATAATAAAATATTACTTAATTTAGTTATATAAATGATTAAATAATGATCTTTTATTCGTTTCGAAAATATTTTTTGTATATAATTATTATTCATTTTTGAATATGATTATTATTCACTACTTTCTGTAAGCTTTTATATTTTCAATTACTTTTTTATTTCTAAAAAAAATTTTTGCAAATCCATCTAAAAAAGTTAAGCTTTTCTATTTATATATTCAAATAAAAAAGTGTTTTGCAATTAATTAATTTTGATATTTGAAAGTACTTTTTGTAATTAGATAGATTTTTTGAAAATTAATTGCTTATTTAAAATTTTAGAAAGTTAACAGTTTATTCTTAGTTTTTTTGATATATTTCATACATTATATATTAAAATCTTCAAAAACGCTTTAATAATTTACAAATACTTTATATTAATTATTGCTATTGTATAACATATTAAAGTAATTAGCAGTATATATTGCCCTTTTTTTATTTAGTAGTACTTACTTTTTTATTTTTTTGGAAAATAGATTTTAAATTTATAAAAATTAGATAATTGCCTTTTGCTTGATTATATTTAATTTAATTAAAAAATTTCTATGCAGCCTCCAATCTAAGCGTTAGTGTTTATTTTTTTGAAATTGAGAATTTTATGTCTCAATTTAGATAAATAACCTTGTACACCAAATCAATTTGAATCATTGATTGAGGTAAATTGCTCTTTTTATAGCTAGACTTAAGAAATTTAATTATCCTTCTGTTTTATCAATTTTATGCATCTCTGTTATTAATTTTATTAAGAGTCTAAGTCTGTGGTTTATTTAAAAATTTGCTAAGAAGTGTTTTATAATTCTATTATAGAAGAATCTTTTGATATTAACTTTGAATTATTTGGGCTAAAATGCGCTTTGCTTTGATTTTATTCTTAGACAAAGATATTACCTTTGCTAAGCAAGTTATTAATATAAATTTTATTATAATCTATGTTTTTTCTTTAATTTCTTAGGTTATTTTGTTGAAATTAAATTGATTAGGATAATATTTTTTACAGCTTCTTTTTTTCTTTGACTGTTCCATGAACCTCTTTGTGAGTATAGATACTTCTTTTTTATGATTGTAATGTATTATCAACAACTTTTTATTTGGATTATTCCTTTAGTTAAATTTGTTATTGAACTCTTATTTCTTCCTATTCATATTTTTTCCTAAATTCTTCTTATGCTTCTTAATAAATTTTTTTTGCAAAAATTGGATTAATCCCCCATAATTTTGAATAATAGTCAATATCATTATTTGTTAGGTCATTAAAAAATCTAGAATTTTTTTAATCGTAACCTTATTCAATTTTCATGGATGTCGTATCAATAATTTTATTCTCTAGGATATAAAACCTAGGAAAGAATTTGAACTTTACAAACATGTAAATCTGCATTAATAAAAAGCCAAGCACTATAAAGTTCAGTATAGTTAAAGCCATAATCGCCAAAATAGAAGCTATAAACTTTTAATTGATCATACTATCAGGTAAAATTTAATAAATTATAATACAAACATTCGAGAATCCAATTATTACTTCTATTGCTATTATAAATTTTTGATAAATAGTGTAAGAAATAGGTTTTTGATGAAGCAAATAAATCAAAAATAATAAATTAGTTCCTAAAACTGAGGATATTTTAATTAAATCTTGAGTGACAAAGACCAAAACAGCTACTTATAAAATTTTACGAAACTCAAGGAGAATCCAAAAATACCTTTTAAGTCCTTAGGTTTTAATATTACTAAAAATAACTTTAAATTTGCTACAGTCGTAGTTAAAATCAAGTTCATCGAATTTAGACACTTTATAGGTTAAGTAGCAAACAAAGATGATGTAAATCAGAGAGAATAAAGACTTAAATCCTATATCTATGAAATCATATGTTGAATTTAAGGTTAATTTATAAACAGAGTAAAATAGAGATAATAAAAAGTAATTTCCGAATACCATTTAAAACCTTATAAATAAATTATACTCTATTATTTTTAAGAATGTTTGGTTTTTTATATAAAAATTTAACCTTTTTTTTTCTTTTTATTTTTAAATTTCATTTTCCCTTTTTACAAGTAAATTTTATCCTATTTGACTTATTTCGTTTTAACTTTAATTTATTTTTGAAGCATTCTAGTCTAAACTGCAGCTTATATTGAGATTATAGCTGTTGTCAAAAATACTATTGTCATGTTTACAATCAATTTCCTTTACTTTTAATTTTTTTTAGGCTTAATTAGCCTCAATAATTCTAATATATTTCCTATTTATGCACTTAGATAAAATGTACACTAGGATTGTTATAAAAAGAAAAACAAAGAAGTAAGCCATGTTGTTAATAAAGTATTTTTTTAAAGGTTAAGATCTAAATGCACCCATAATTGAAAGCTAGCTGCTACTAGCATAAAGCAAATCACTTTCATTATATGTGTTTAATGTAGAGTCAGGAAACAAAGGAAATATATTATACTGATAGAAGTTTTATATTACTGTGGGTCCAAGAGATAAAATCCTCAGATTGTTTATTAAAATTAAGTTTCCTATCTGTTATTAAACCTAAACTGTATACCAAAAAAAAGGACCGATTGGAAAGAAAGCAAAGGAGAATAGGAGTAAAATTGTATTAGAGATACTAATAATGTTAATTGTGGCATCTGATGCTTTAACAATATTCTGCTCCTTTGTGCAGTTAGAAGGATTAGCACATTCTAAAAGATATTCAGTATCATTAAATTAACATACTAGCTTATTTTCATTAAATTCATAATACTATTTACACTTTATACAAACCCTTCCGCTTTATTCACTACTGCAATTTAAACAATTTACATCAGGACACTTTTTACAAATTTATTTATGAGCATCATAGTAAGTATTTTAATCACATTCAACACATTAGTTCTTTTCATCTAATATATATTCATTTTAACAAGCATTGCATATATCATTAGAATTACAATTAGCACAATTTTTAGTGGAACATGTTTTACAAATATAATTTTCTACAATAAAGGTTTAAGAAGGACACTATTCAACACATTTTTAATTTAAATAGTAACATCTTGCGCAATAATATGAGCTATTTTTAATTTTATTAATATCTTCACTTATATTTTTAGATTTTTTGAAATAACCTTCTGGACATTACTACAAGCAAGAGTTACCAAGGTAAATAATAAAGTCCTCTCTACATGTTGTACATTCGTTATTTGAAGGACCTGTGCAAGTTAAACAGCTTTCATCACAATTTTCACAAATTAATTAACCGTTTGTTGTCTCTTAGGTGCTTACAAAGTATCCATCTGAACAAGCTTCTTTACAAACACCATCCTAAAAGTACCTATTTTCTTCGCATTATAAGCAAGTATCATTAGAGTGGCAAAATACGCAATAATCTCCACATTTTTAGCAAAATTAGTTTTAATCAGAATAATATCCTGTTGGGCAGCTGCTTACACAAGAATTATTATACTTAAATTATTTATCTTAACAAGAAATAGTACAAAAGCCCGATTCATTTAGTAAATATCCGTTCTAGCATTTTTTACATTTCTTATTTTCTTAAGTTTCACAATTTGCTTTGTAATCTTAGCAAAAACCTGTCATTTAATTTAAAAAATATTCATGACTGCACTTAAAACATGAACCATCTTCTTAGTATTGATCACAGTTTTCTATTAGTAGACTTAAAGTGGCTCTATTTTTTACATAAAGAATTATTAGAAAACAAATTTATAAAAAAAAATAAATTACTTCTAAACTTTTAATTCTCCATCCTCATGCTTGATATCAAATTAAATTTAACCTTTTGCGTCATCATGAAAAACCTTTATTGAATAGAATTTATCTTCTTCTTTAACCATTTTTACATCTTCTATCATAAAATTGTCTATTTATATCTTGATGTTATCTTTCTCTATTTTTTTTGATGTGAGGAATTTAATTTTAAAAGTGACTCTACTAAACAACTAATTATTCTCAAGTGATAATACAAATTTGTTTGGTTTTTTGTTTTCATTGCATCCAAAGAAATAATCTACATTAGTACTTTAGAAAAACTTATAAATATCCTTGCAAGAAGAATTAGATAATTCTGTTTTTAAATAAATAATGTCAGCAACAATTATAAAAATGTAGCAAAGGGATAAATTTACCAAAATCTTTAGTTAGTTCAGCTTCTGCATAATAAACGATCACAAGATGGATTAATAAATAAAATAAATTCTATGCTTTTCTCATAATAAATAAAATTAGGAATGATTCTACTTGTCTAACGTTATAGGCTTGTATCAAGTATAAACAAAGATTACTATATTGTTATTTATCTCTTATTTTTATTACTAAAAATTGATTAATTATTAATTCAGTAATCTCTTAGATATGATAATTACAAAATTAATATACAAATAATATGATTAAAACTAAATATCTATAATTCCCTAATTCATAAATCACTTAATTTATTCATCTATCTAACTATCATAAACACATTAAAATCTAAAATAAATTCTATCACTTGATTAAAAACTTTACATTATACTTTGAGATTACTACCTTTAAACAGTGAGGTTGGTGTTATTAAAAACAATAGTAATAGTAGTGGTAATGTAAGGAAATTTATAAAAGATTAAATAATGTAGTTAAAGAAGAGGAGCTTGTATATTTACAAAATTTTATTGAAGAATTTTTATTTTTTAAGTTATTTAGGATATTTTTTATTCAAAAAACATATATTAATGTTGAAATATTAATATTTATTAACTATTTAAAAATATATGGATTAGACTGCAATTATTTTTCTATTAACCACAAACTCAATTTAATTTACAAATAATTTACTTTGTTTTATTAACCACATATTTTTTAAAATTATGCTGAAAATAGATATCTTTTATTACTTTTTACCCAACTAACAATTAATAAAAAATTATTTATAAAATTAAAATAAGATATTTAATTATTTTGTTCATATTATTTTGTCAGTTCAAAATATACTTAATTTTTTTTTGAGCATTTTTGGTCTTTAATACTACTAATGTAGTTTATTATTAGATATTTTATTTTTTTAATTTTAATAACAGAAACATCTACTATAGTGTGTTGGTTATAAAGAGAGGAAAGGTGATCAAGGATAAAAATTATTTAATCCTTAGTTAAAGATAGCCAAATCTTTTTTTTATGCTTATTCAAGCCTTTTCTCAGAAATATAAATCGTATAATATCACATGAGGGTTGTATGTGAGATTCTTACTAATTAATTAATAGTAAGTAAAAATTTATAGTAGAATAGGGTTAATTAAATTTTGCATTTAAAGCACTGTATTCTTATTTAATTAAATCTGAATATTATTGAGACCGTAATTGAGAAACCGAATATTTAAAGCTATATTTAATTGTTGCTTTAATACTTGCAAATTATTATTATTATTGCTATTGTTGTTATTAGTTATTGTGTATTCATATTTTGTATAAGGGAGTTAAGCTTCATATAGAAGTAATTTTAAAAATGTTTTGTGAAATCTCTATTCTAACATTATGCAATTGTTTTCTAACAAAATAACTGTGGTAAAATCCTATTGAATTTCTATATAAGCTCCTTCAAAATATTTTTTTCTTGTTATAATTTTAAAGCATTAGTTTAAACTAGTTGAGTTTTTATTATATTTATTTTAATTTGATATGCTATTTAAACTATTTAAAGTAAGAGAAGAAATATCTTAGCTGTTTACAGCATCATTACCAAAGATTAAACTATTTTAGTGTCCTACCTGCTAAATTTACATATCTTATGTTTAGATATTGGCATACATATACTGTAAAGAGGAGCTATTAGAAAGAATCTAAACTATTTTTTTAAGGTTTGAGCGCTTAGAACTATATATCCTGTATTTTCTTGAACAAAAAGATATCAAACGAAGAGAAATGTTGATAAGGTAACATAGCTAACATACTCCCAATATTATATAAGCAATAAATCTTAAATAGAATTAGATTTTTATCTAGAGATTATTACCTTCATCAGTTTAATTCTACTATAATTTTTGATTGGCATCGAAATCAGTTATAAAGTAATCCATAAGAAAAATAGAAGTTACATCAACAAGCTGGTAGAGAGAATTTATTTAGAAAATGCTTGAAGAATAAAGTAGCCTTTCATTATTACTTACTTTGTAGGGGGAAATGTAAAATTAATAAAAAGGACCGTGATCAATCACAATGTAAAAGAATTGGGCAAGAATCAAGATTAAGTAATTAAACGTAGGACCTTGCTAGTAGTAGAGAGCAATTCTATTTATAATAAATAAGATAAGCATCTTTGAGATAATATAAATGAGAGAGTTTATAAATGACTGATTCAAGAGTAAAACTAAAAGAAGTTGAAAACATAATTAATAAGATAATCTTCCAACAAAGGAAACAGCTGACCTAAAAGAAGGCATATATAATTTAAATTTAAAACAGGTAGATGTTTTGGTCGTTTTATTACTCTTTTTTAATAAAGGAGTGACGTTAGAGGATAATGATGACGTCGATTCAACCACATTCAATTATTAATAATCATTTATAACTTAATTATTTGTATTCATCTCTTAATGCTAATTCTATTATATCATATTTTGTTAAATATTTTGAATGTTATTTTAATTTTGATCTTGCATATCGATTGTATAGACTTCTGTGTAGTTATTTTCATTTCCAAAGTCTTCTATAAAAAATATTACATTTATTCGAGCAGTGATAATGATGAGGTGAACGAAAAAAGAAACCAGAAGACAAATTTAAATTGGTAAATCAGACTTTCTATAATAATCATCTCGAGATAGCACTAAGCAGATTTGAATGTACTGCATAAGAATAACTCTTACTACCATTTTTATAATGACATTCTTTTTATATCTAAAAAATAATCCCAAATCTAACATTTCAGATAAAAGCAAAGTTAAATTAGGTTTCTCGAAATAAATAAAGAGCAATTTGTCAATTATGTATATAGAACAGTAAACAATAAAATAATCTAAGCAGTTGAGTCCTCTTAGTAGAATAAAAACGATTGCATCATTAAATAAACAGGAAGCAGTAATAATGGTGGCAAAGAATTTTTAAAACTTTTGTAAATTCTCTACTCCACTTTCAAATATTGAGTCATCTTATTGCATCATTCGTAGATTGAGTTTAATTAGACTTTATGATAGTAAAATTTACTAATTCTTGATAAAATAACTTAGTTTTTGTTTCAAAAATAAAGTTTTAGTGATTTCTATTGTTTTATCCTTATTTATTCCTTCTATTTTTTTAAACATATACTTTTATTAACAAATAATATTACTTAACTAGCCTCAAATTAAGATAATAATATTATTATTCACATCAAAATATCATAAATGAAATTCAAAAGTGTGTTTATAAAATCAGAATAACCATATTATCTTATAGATAAATCCATTTATCCTAAAAATTAATTTACTTTATTATTATTATTATTATTATTTCTAAAATATTCATATACTTAAAGAATATTCTGCATATAAAAGTTAAGCTCTATAAATTCTTTATCTGGTTGAATATTATATATAAAGAGCAGGACATATATTTAGACATTTTAAATTTTTCAAATATTATTTTAATGAGAAGATGAATATTAATTAATAAAATAAAAATTAGTAAATTAAAAAAATATTAATTTTTAAAGTAGAAATAATTTTAGTTTTTATTAAAATTGAATAAAATTTAATTAAAAAAAATTTATTTAATTAAATAATTTAAGATTAAAAAATAAATTTTATTAAAAAGACAAACAAACTTTAAAATCAATATAAAAGAAAGATTAAATAATTCAATATAAAAAAAACGAATAAAACCTTGATTGAAAATAATTTTTAATTATTAAATAAATTATTTTAATATAAGAGAATAAGTTAACTTAGAGAAATTAATAAATTAGATTGATTGATTCAGTTAAATAAGTCGTATAAAATACACTTTGGATTGATTGATTATGAAGATGCTATGTATTTGTAGAAGGTAACTATTGTCAGGTTATAAATTTAATACCTTGGATCTTATTTGAAGGTTGTGTTTCCTACTATGATTTGAATATCTTATATACCAAATTTAATAATTCTCATATTTAGATAATCTTAGATTTATTATTTTTATTATGTAGTCATTTAGTTATCTTCTTCTAAATAGATAAACTTTTTATTTTAAATAATTTGCTATCTTTGAAGAGCTTTGATTAAGAAATCGTGAAAAACATAGTCTATTTCAAACTCTTCACCTTTATTTACAATTAGTTTGGCGTTTTTATGATCTTTTATTTTTATTTTACTGAAACTTAAATTATAATACTTGTTTGGACTTATGGATTATTCTAACAAATCTTGTAAGTCTTAGTTGACATCTTTGTCTCGTGAAAATGACCCTTTATCTATGTCAGCAATGCTGCCATAAAAATATGTTAAGCTATTATTTTTCTTCATGACTGATAGCATAGCTTTTAGCTTATAATTTTTGGCACAATATACGTTATGATTATTATACCTGCTGCTTATGAGGAAAAGAAATTAATTTGTGATGAATAATGATACAAAAATTGATAAGAGTATTTCAGAAGATGATCTTATATAGCTTATTACTTATAAATAATCAAAAGTGCTTTATGGGAGACTCTCTGGAGCTTTTGTTATTGTAAACTTTCCATAATTTGCTTAAAAATTATAAGTAGAGTAGTCAATCAAAAATATTGAGCAGCCATCTAATATTTAAAGCAGTTAATTAAATCTAAAAACGTGCAAAGTGTAGAGCAAAGCTTCGGCTAAAACTACTTTTTCACTTTTCGTCTTTTTTCTTCGAAAATCATAGAAAGGTCCGTGGTCTATACAACAGTAAAAGAGCAATGCAAATATACTGTATTTTAATTCATTTTTAATATTCTAATATTTTTTTCGAAAAGCAACAAAATTAGCTATTAAAATAATAATAGCTTTGATTATTATATAAGGTATAACAACAGATTGTGTTTACCCAACCAAAAGTAGAACAAAGAGGCCAAAAAGGCAAATTTAAAATAGCCAGCGAGCTAAAAATGTAGTGAAGTATCTAACTTTCATAGATTAAGCAATAGTAATTATAATAGATATCATAATCTAAGAGGCAATTATAAGGATTTGCTTGTGAAGAAGTAAAGTAGAGAAGGTTGGTTAAAAAAAAATGAGGAAGAGTTGACAATATAATATTAAAAAAACTCTAAGAAAATAACCCACCATAAGAGGTCTACAATTTTAATCACGAACTCTTATAGTTAATATGCCTACTTCAAATATTTCAAGAACTGCCTATTTCCACTTCAAATCTTTGCAATAGTAGAAAAAACAAAGTTTCTACAAACAATACAAAATAATTTAAGAAATCATGTACTCCATATTTTGAATGGTGACTATTGTGACTGCAATGAAATTATTATAAATAAACAAAGAAAGTATCAACCACTAAATTATCTTTTCTGTGATATTTACTTTAAACTTTGAATTCTTCATAGTCAAAATATTTTCACAATAATCCTAAAATTTTGATGAGTATTTTTCTAATATGTTTGTTTAATACCCTATTTCTTTTTCTTCAAAGAAATTGACTTATTGACTCTCTATTTAAAACTAATGTATATCTAAAATTCCTTTTTTAATCTATAGTTCAAGCTTTAACTCTTTCTACTAAATCAAACTAAGCTAAGTTAATTAATTAAATTACTTATCAACCAAAAGAAATGTTTACTGTTTTTTTTTCCTTTTTTTTCGCTATTCTTAAATAATCAATCAAATTGAATTTCTTCATATATATTACTCTTCTTACTTACTTCTATTAATTTTGTTTATGATCATGTAATGTAATGTAATAAATTATTCATCTAATTCTTTAATTCTAGATCAAAAATCATATCCCATCTAATTTAGATTTATCAATATTTCATAATATTTTTTAGTCATTTTACAATTTATTATATTTGTTTAGTGCTATTTTTTATTGGATCTAAATTTTAATATAATTTTATTTTAAAAACTCAAATAAATAGGTGCTAAAATAAGTTTTATTTACTTAGTTTCATACTAATTTATGTTAATAAAAGGAATTAAAAGAATCTTTATTTTATTAATCTTTAATGATAGCATTCAACAACTTAATTTAAAATTTACTTTTATAATTAATTAATGTTTGAATTCATCAAAGATGTAAAATTTTAATTTAAAATAATTTAAAATTAGACTTATTTGAAAATATTTTCAGATGATTTAATTTTAAAATATACAATTACAAAATATTGATCGTATCCATTAGATTATATATATTTTACTAAGATATATTGTAAAAGCAATTTGATTATTCTAAATAAAACATTTAATTATTTATTTTATTGATTTAATCAAGAGTCTTCCATATTCATAGAACTGAATTAAATAACCTATTTTAAATTATAAAAATTAAATTATTTTTCAAATAAATTTGATTAAACTAATAATGAATGAATTTAAACTTTATATTCATTCGATTATTAAATTTAATTTATTTAAGTTTAGAATGAATTATTGAGTTTTATTTCTATTAAAAAAAATAGTTTATGATTTAGAAAGCTATTCTTAATTTTTTAAATTTAATAATTTATAATTGTTAATTACCTCATCTTGATTCAGCATTTATTTTGATGTGATTGGCTATAGTGGTCGAATTTAATTTAAGTCAATATGCCTAATTGATTCTAGTTAATTCAATGAAGTTATTCTATTTATTGTATTTATCTTAGTTTATGTCATTAAAATTAAATTTTTCCTGTTCTTGTAAACTTATTACCATAGCTGACTTATTCTTAGGAGAGGAACTCTCTATTTTTTGAAATAGTTTTTAAAGAAGCTGTATTTTATGAGATACTGACTCATTTTAAGTATTATTTTGGGAGGCTTTTGCTTCTTTAACTTTAGATATGCTTTTGCTAATTCAGCTACTCCATAAGCATTTATCAAAAAAAATAAGATTATCACGATAGTCTATAATAATGTCATATTTTCACTTGAATATAAAATGCATTATAGCATTAGAGAAATTATTAAAACTTAGATTAAAAGTCTCTCACAACGAGCAAAAACTAATGAACTAATAGGATTTAATTTATTTATCAATGTAAAATAAATTTAACAGATGATTGCAATGATTAGTCTTTGGTTTGTATCATTAATAGATAAATTAATAACTAGCATAATCATAAATTTTTTACTCATTCTTACTATCTCCCAATAATAAAAGTGAGTTCTAAATCCTTATTATAGAATGTAATAAGATAAAATATATGAAATAGTTTAGTCTTTTCCTTGTTATTTAGATTTCCTCATTTTTATGAATAATAAACCAGGGATAATTATAGTCCAAACAATGAGTATAGGATAAATTAATATTAGACTATAAATTTTGTGCTACTGACTATAGCATTGTTGTTTATAATCATTTTTTAAGTAGGAGTTAGATCCTATCTGCTCACAAAAAACGAGAGAAATCAAAAACTTTGTTATTGAAGGATAATAGAATAAATAAATAAAAACTAAGTAAATTGTAATGTAAATTTTTTTTTGTTTTCTTTGGCTAAAGCACTTCTAAATAGCTAAAATTATACCAAAAGTCACAAATATCTGGAAAAATTAAATTAAAATTCTATTTAACCAAACAGGATAAATCCAAGACATTTTAAAAAGACAGTCATAGCTGTTAACTGTGATATTTGTAGGGTCACCAGCAATATCAATAGTTGATTCAAATATCTTGGGTATTCTTGAAAAGAAATCAAAAGAAGTAGAGAAAATTTGTAGATAATTTAAAAATATTTTTGTAAGCACTGCAGAATCCTAACCTTTTTATCTCGATTTACTCAAAAAAAGAATATTCATTTTTCTTAAATAGTTCAGTTTGATCAATTTACTTTTTTCATCTATCTAAGATTTTAAACTAAAGTGAATATACAAAATATAGACAACTATAGCTACTGCTAAATAAATGTAAACTTCAGCATAATTTGAACATCTATAGCAGTATGTTCCTTTAACCCCATAAAGATGATCCCAATTCTCTCCATAATTATCACAGCTTTAGCACATAGGTCCTATAAATCCCTAAATGCAGCCAAATTAATTTCCTTTTACTTCGCTGCATCCTTAAAATATGCATTAGAAAATTTAATCTGACATTCTGTTTTCTCTCCAGTATCCGTCTCTCAAAATAATTTAATTTCCTCTACAGAACTGAGCTTCAGCAGGACATGTTTTACATTGATTTAATGCTTCAGTATTTGGATTCACTAGAGAATAAGTTCCTTGACTACATTCATCGCAACTATTTTAGTAAATAAAAAATATAAAATTAATTTTATATTTTTAAACTTATTTTTATTTATCAAATAATTTCCCTTAATGAATAAGTTTTAATCAGTTGTGATCAAATATTGCATTTAATTATGTTAAAAGATGTATTTTATAAATATTAATAAAAAAAATCATTTGGTATTTGATAAGAATATATATAATTTTTTATACTGAGATATTCCAATAACTAATTAAAATATTTATTAATATTCTTACTATCCATATTTTCTTTCATGATATTTATTTATCAAATAAATATTATTTGCCAAAATTTAATTTAAGATAAATATGTTGGATTTCAAAAGTAAATTATTTAATTCATATTTTTAATTAATTTAATTAGCAATACTTTTTTTAAAAAGTAAATTAAAAATTTTTAGTTAATAAAAAAGCTAAAATTACAATATAAAGCCATGCCTGTTTTGCTTTATTTCACCAATAATGCAGTCTCTAAAGTTAATTATGAGGGTGATATATAAATTATTGATATTTGAAACAACTTTCAAAACATATCTTTTTTAGTTTTTGTACGAAGCATTTATGTTAAATCTAAACATGCCTGTAAGATCATCAAAAAGTAGCTGTATTCCTGATGAAATAAGGATTTCATCTTCTAAATCATTTTAAACCTTCAGAAAATAACTTAAATATTCACTTTCTACTTTTTTTGAAACAGTATTTTTATTTTTGATGATATAATTTTAAATTGCTAAAAAATCAAGCATTCTATTTTCTTGATCAAAAAAATTAACATATATAACGTCTTTTGTATAATTTCCACTTTGGAAGTTATTTATCAAGATATAATCAATTTTAGTGTTATTATTTTGCTCAACTCTTTTAACAAATTTAGGTATAGATCCCAAATTATCTCCATAAAATAAACCTTTTTTATAAAACATATTTTATAATAATATTTATTAATTATTCTAATTACCAAAATTATTTGTTATTTAAGATTATTTAATATCAATTAAGCTGTCTAAATCTGTGTAAATTCCACCACCAATCAAAGCCTTATTATTAAATAATTTGCACTAGAAAATTTTTATGGTATTTTCCTATGAATAAATAGCTCCTCCTTTTTCATTATTCGCATAATTACTTTCAAAAGTGCAATTTTCAAAACTGATTACATTTTGCTTTGCAAAAATAGCACCACCAGAATTTAAAACAGCACTATTCGAAGTAAAACTGGAGTTAAAGAAAGTTACATTTTAATTTTATTCTAAATACACAGCTCCTCCATAAAAATAATTCTAGCACTTTATAAACCTGCTTTCTATTATTTAAATATAAATGCTATCAGTAATAAATAATGCCCCTGAACCAGTTTTTTGGATAACTTTGTCATCTTAAGCTTCTTAGTTCTGTATATTTATAAATGCTGATTCAATTATTTTAATATCTTAGGCAGAATTGATGCAGACAACTCCACAGTTTATATTAATGACATGAATATTTTCAAAAGTAGTTTATTTGATTTCAACTATCTGAGTTTATTAAATATTTATTATAGATTCATTTTCTAAATCTACATTTAAAAAGCTTGATTCTTCTATTACAAATTTATCTCTTGCATTAATTGTTATAATATGATAATTAGATTAAATGCTAGTAACATGCATTTTTTATATATTAGAGTTAAAACATTACAAATTTAAAAGCAATAATTTTTAACTGTAATATAATATTTTTTATAGTCTAACATTCTATAAATTAAACTATCTATTGAGGAGCTAACTAGTGTCCTAGTCCTATTTTGAATAAGCTATTAGGTTAACTAAACCTACATCAATTAAATTAGTTATATTTAAAGAGTTAAGTGAACTTGTTTGTATTCCTCTTAACAAAAAAATATATATAAGCTACTCTTCATTTTAAGCTAATCTAAAATGATTTTCACTATTTTTACTTGTTAATTTATTGTGCTAATTGACTTAATTTAAATGATTTATCACTTTGCTTGCCTCTAAATCCTGTAGTTGAAATATTGAAGTTTAAAATATTTCAAAAAGATTTGTGTTTTATAGTTAAACATGGTTTAGTTTGATTATGTTCAAAATAACAGTATATGAGTAGTAGATACTAACGAGAGGTAAATTTGAATGATAATTTTCAGCTGTTAAGTTTTTTATAGTAAGAGATTATGAAAGCTCTTAGACTTAGCTATATCTCAATAATTAAATATACTATGTGTTTATAATTTAAGTATTCTCTAATTTAATTGAATAAATATTGGTTAGAAAAAGAGCAGAAATGCTTTAAACTTATTCTTCTCTTTTCTGTTTGCTAGAGTATGTAATGATTAGATCTTATACGCTTAAAATCTTTGTAAGTTCTATACTTATCATGTTTGTTTAGAATATTGTGTCAATTATTTTTAGGTTTTTAATTGTAACTTTCTATACATTTGTCATGTCAAAAAGCTATTAAGCAAAATAGCAATTAGAAATTGTAACATTATTGATATAAAGTGTTTTCACATCACTTATTTACATAAATGAAAACCTTTATGAGAAGTTGAAATTATTCAAATTGATATTTTATATAGTGAGCTAAGATGTGTCTGACATAATAAATTGGCTTTCCCAATTTTAATCTGATATATTAATATCATTAAATATAATATTGGTTATGTTTTCGAAATATAAAAAATGGGTGTTTTAATTAGTTGTAATATTTAATTGTGATAGCTAAAAGTTAGTTAGTTTATATTCAGGATTAAAATGGATTTCTTCAGAGTTTAAAAAACCTAAAAATAGATTTGATGATGAAATCTTTATGTTATAAAACTTAGAATGAACGAAATTGCTATCAACAAGAGTAAGGACAATATCACTATTCATATTATTTTAGGTGAAAGCTTTGTATTCAATTAAAGTTTTCTCATTAAATAGACTTTAATTACAAATATCAAATACCTTTCTATTTTAATAATATTTAAATATCATTTAAAACAAATTTAGTTTAAAACTTACATGGCTTATGAAGATTTATATAAAATTTAATATTTAATTCTTCTCGTGTCTCTCTTTTCTGATTATTGTATGATGCAATTCTATATTAAATATAAAAAAGATCTTTATTTATTTATAAATTGCTTTTTGTTTAATTTACCTTAAAACCATCATTCTCAGATTCTTAAAAAATTTAAATCTTTTTTGATTCTTCCAAAACAATACTGGAGCTCTTGGATTTTTTTAAATCTGCATAGCAAGCTATTGTAAATCCATTAACATCTGAAACTCCTTTTAATAAAATTTAATACTAGTTTTAACCTAACTATTTAACCCTTTGATGATATATAATAGGATTAATTAATTCAACCTAACTCTTCAAAAGTTCTATTTTTTTTGATGTTATAATCGATATTTCAATTTTTATATCATAAATTATTAAGAAAATATTATCTTATATTTATTATATATCAACTATTTATGCATTATTATTTATATTAGAAATTAGGAAATTGTGCAAGGTAAGAGTTTATAAATTGTAAATATGAGTGTTTAATGGGCAAATTATAAAAAAGTAATTTTTATCTAACTTTTATTTAACATCATATAAGCACGGCTTTGTAATTCTTTAGTGTATAAAAGAACTTTATGTATTTTAAATATTAATTATCTCTTGTCTTAAATCTATTATATAAGAAAATCTTGATGAATCATTTATCAATAAATAATTTTTGTTCCCTCTGCTTATGTATGCTTCAAAAAAGCAATTCATCTGACAATTAACTGTAAAAAGTTTTTTAGCTTATCCTTTTCCATTACTATTGTCTATATAATAAATCAGCAAACCATTTTCAGAATGCAAAGCCAGAATATTTTCTTTAAATTGCACATTTATCTAGTCCTATTTAAAAATATTTAATTAAAATATTTAAATAAAGTTCTAAATTAATTTTACATAGTGAATGCCATTAGTTATCAAGTTTAGTGACTGATTTAACTATAAATTGTAAAATATGATGTTATCTATTTAGATATTTTTATGATTTTTAATCAAAACAATATCAGAAGTTACTTCAATTATATCTTTTCTAATATCGAAATTAGGATTGGAGATAATATTTTCCAAAAACGTAAATTTATTGTTTAAGAAATAATAAAGTTGATTATCCTTTGAAATATATAAAAGTCTTTTCTAATTTTCAAGAAAAACAAAATTATAACAATTAGTGATATCTTGATAACTAATTATAGATAAATCAGAGTTATTTATTATCAAAAATTTTAGTTAGCTGAAAAGTAAAGAAGTATTTGGTGTTAAGTAATACAAATAAAACTCAGATAATTCGATATTTTTTGATTTATCAACAAAGATTTTTTGATGTAAATTTTTCCATGTTTTAGTTTCTACCAAAAAAATGGCGTTTACTTATTTATTTAGTATTAAAAGATTTTTATTTTGTGGTATAAAATAATTTTTCTTTTGTTATAGCTACTACTAATATTTCGAAAGGCTCATACTTACATCATAAGAAAAAATATACTCTTCATGGATAAACAAAGTGGTGTATATTTTGCTATAATAAATAGAAGAGTAAAATCCAATTATTGGGCTGGATGATGACCATAGTTTGAATAGCTTAATGACTTATAGATTAGGATACTTTATTAAGTATGCATACTATTACTAGTCAACGATAACAATAAGAATACCTAAATTAGGATCTACTATTTTTTAACTAGATTATTCAAACTGTAATTCCAAGTTATATATTTTTTCGTTTAAATAATCAATAGCTTTTAATTTGTGAGAATTCTAGGAATAAAATTCTACCTTTAAAATAAAAAATCATTTAAAATAAAAGCTAAGAGTAAATAATGGCTTACATGATTTATTTAGTCACTAAAAATTGGTTCAAAAGTTTATTCTAGGGCAAAACAATTACTAACTTATCCACTCTTTAAATCGTAAAGTACTAAGTGAGTATTATTTCTTGAGCCAAATACTTTTAGCTGCTAATTTATAAATAAAATATCATATACTTATGAGGGATTTTCTATTTCTTTGATTATATTAAGTTTCCTTTCATTAATATCAATCTAAAAAAAAGTAATCAATTTTGAGTCTGAAAATAATATCAACATATCTTAGTATGATAGTAGTTTATTTAAATGATTTACAGGTTATTCAATCAATAGATCCCCATTTTATTAAAAGATATAAATCCCAAAATAATTTGAGGCAAGATACCAGTATTATTCATTTACATTAATTACTTATAAATAAAAGCTATTTAATTCAACACCTTTATAATTAAAGATTTACTCTAACTTTTTATTATATATAATAAATTAGGCATAACCATAATTAAGAGTATATATTAATTGCTCCTTTCTTTCTCCTATAACACTAGTTACTTCAGCTTAAACACTCAAAGTTTTGTTTTGCTTAGTCAAATCAATAAATAATATATCATTTTCTCTCTCTTCAATAAAAATATTCATAAACCTTAAAAATGATTGATTGCTTATCTTTGAAGTATCAGATAAATAAATATCTATTTTATAATTTTAAATTATTGTAAATATAAATTTTTAAAAAATTTTTAATTCTTACTTGGAATTAAAAACTATTCTCCAAATTCTAAATCCTAAATTAAAAAGCTCTCATTTTAGTAAAGTGCTAAGTTATAATTTTAATTATTGTCATCCCAAAACTTAAATTCGCTATCAAAAAGAAGTTTAGTTGATTTCAAATTTAAATCTATTTTATTGACTTTATTTTGTAACCCATCATAGAATAAAAAAATTCCATCATATATCTATCTTATATTTTTCATATATGAATTAATAGTTATATGAGATTTTGATATCAAATCAAATATAGAAAATTAGTCTCCCTTTTTTTAAAAATAAAATAATTATCATTTATAATATACTATAAAATCTCATTTATTTCCTTTTAAATTATTTAAACTAGAGTAATAATTAAATAAAATTTTCTAATTTTAAAAAATTCAATTAATTTAAAATTAATAATATTATTAATCAAAATCTACAATAAATATTCATTTCATGCTATAAAAAAAATATGTATTTAGCTATAATATGAAAAGAAATAAGATAAGAGAATATTAACAACAATTAATAAATTTCAATAAAATATATTTTTTCTAGTAAAATAAAATTAAAAAAAAATAAATTATTCTTACATTTACAGATTACAATAGGAGATATTTATCAGAATTTTCAAATGCTACAACATTTAAGATTGTATTAATTTAAATTTAGTACAACTAATATTCATACTCTTAATTTTTTACATCTAAAAGATATAATGTATTATCCTTGAAATTGTAAATGTAATTTAGTACCACTTTTAAAAAAGATTTGATGTTTGTTTAATGAATTTAAACATTTTAATCAAGGGTAAAATATTAAATTTTTGGGTTATCATTTACTTCAGTTTCTGTGATTATAATAATATTCAAATATGAGTCATAAAAATAATCAAAATGTTTGGATGTTATAGAAGTAGTGTAGAATATATTAGAAGAATTTGTTTTTAAGTCAAACAAAGTAAAACTTCTTGAATCATAATCAATAAGAATCACTTTTTGATTACGACACACCAATATAGTTGGAATGATTTAATCTAAAAATTAGGTGTATTAATTACCTTCTAAGTCTTTAAACAGATAAGTAGAATTAGATAACTAAATTTATATTACTTAATCGACATAAGTTATTTGATTGAAACTAGTTTCTAAGACAAATACTTATTACATGTCTTTCACATTTATTTCAAATTTACAATAATACTTATCTTCTTCATTTAAATCTTCAATTATCAAATACCCAAATTGATCTAATAAAATATAATTGATACCTAAAGAACTAATTTCTCTGCTTTAAAAGCTAAAATCATCTATATTTATTTTTAAAAGTTCACTTTATTTTATCAAAATTAGATAATTTTAGGAAATAAATGCTTGTTTTATTTATTAAATGCTTTGTTACTTAAGCACAGTTTTTAAATGTACCTAGCTAATATCAAAGACAACTATCTATTATTCAAATACAAGGAAAATAGTGCTTTTATAGATTAAAATATTTATAATATTCCCAAAAGAAGCATAACTATCAAAACTATTACTAAAACTTTACAAATAACTATACTAAGTAGTCTGAGACGTGTCTAAAATTTCAACTTCTCCTTTCATTTATAAAAAAATTAAATTTTCCTTGTAAAAAATAGAAGAATCTCTGATAGTAAAAAAAGGATTATATCCTTAAGAAACCTAAAAGTTATCACTCTCCCATTTATAAATCACCAATTAATCATTAATTATAACTATAAAAGCATTTTCTTATTCCATGACTTAAAATTTTTTATCAACTACTTGCTATATCAAGACGAAATCTTTATAAACTTATAAATTTGTACCTATATTGAATTGATTTATTTTAATAAAATTATTGTTCAAAATTTATAAATTATTTACTATTTGTATCCTAGATAAATACAAGTCCTTCCTAATTGCCTAGAACTAAATTAGATTTTTAGGTATTGCAATAAATTTAACCTAACTAATAAAAATTATAATTTTATGAGCAATCTTAATAAATAAATATTAATTAAAAATTTAATTTTTATTTTCTTAGTAATTTAAGCAAATACATACTTAATTTTCTTTGAAATAAAGTAAAATTTAAAGAGTTACTATTGAAATGTCGTAGTCTATGTCTTTGTCTTAATTTTCAATAAATTAAATTTTTTGTAAAATAAAAGCATCATAATTTTTAGAAGTAAAAACAACTACATTCCATTTATGAATAAACTGTACTTTTTAAATTTACATATTTGAAAATTTCACTATTTTAAACTTTTAATTCTTATATACTGTAAAGTAAAACACCCTGATATTTTTTTAAAAGGAAACAATCATATCTAAACTTTCTATACAGAAGTAGGACACTAACTATTAAACCATTTATTGAGCCTACTTCTCTTTTGTTATTAGATTAATTTAAGTATATGAACTAGAACCAAAGTAGTACAATAGATCTTAATTAATATAAAATTAATTTATTGTTGTTAAAGTCTCTATTTGAGTTAGTTAGAAGTCATTCAAATTTAAAGCAAAAATAGTATTTTATGGATTAATGTTTATGAAAATTGTTTTATTTTAAATTATTAAGCTATCTTGATATAATTCAGATTATTGAATATAGCTTTTCATATCAAAGCTTTTAACGAATCTAAAAGATTGAGACTCATAAAATTTTACTTCATTCTATGTTATACCTATGATCTTTTAATTTTCTTCAGTCAATTAATATATTGATATTTAAAAAAATTTACATAAGATGTATTATATTTTTTATATTTGTGTATTTAAATAAAATTTGCATTGCTTAGGCTTGAGTATGAGCTAATGTCAATATCATTTATTTAATCATGATCTTCTTCAAAGTTCTACTTGCAATTTATTTACTAAATTTAATTTTCTAAAGCACAATCTAAGCTGCAATATCCTTTTTAAGTATTATAAACCCCTTCATTTTATAAGCATAAATCAATCAAACATTGTTTATTTTCTGAAAGCTAGTAGTTTTCTTGACATTTCTTACATTATCCATAATTATCACAATCTAAGCAATTAATATCTGGACACTTTAAGCAAGTTAAATCTACTTGATCTGGATAGTATCCTTAAGGACATTAGCTTTAGCAATTCTTATTTGCATCCTTATTAATTATATATTTTTAATTTTGCTATTATGCAAATAATAATTTGATTACCAAATAATATTAGAAGGAACATTGAATACATTCATTTTTATTTATACAGCTATAGCAATTCTAGATGCAAGAATCACATTTTCCAGTGGAAGAATCATAAAAATATCCTGTAAACTAACAACTAGTACCTATATCTTTAAAAACTTAGTTAAATACTACTTAAACTGTAAGATTTAACCAAATGATAGCTATATTTATTGCCTTTATATTCATTTTCACTAGAAAATTTTTATTTTAATAAATCTATTTATTTGAATTACTTTTTAAGTATATTAAGTAAATTATTTGATAAACATATGTACTGATTATATACAATTTTTTTTTTATAAATAGTTTATGTAATACAAATAAATTTTGCTGGATCCAATTTAAAAAAGATAATTTTAATTTTTAAAAATAATGCTAGATTTATAGAACCAATCAAATCAAATCACACCATGTTTTTACATACATCTTTTAAATCTGATTTGACCTTATAGAATTATTAAAAACATTACATTATTTATTTTACTTTAGTGTATTTAGATTTGAAAATTTGTAAAATTAATAAAATATTTATTTTATAATAGACTTATTTCTTTTATCTTTTTTCATATTAATTATATTATTTTATTGATGTAATCATCTAAATAAAATTAAAATTTGAAAAATTAATTTTTTTTATATTATTATTTAATGAATTAATAAATACAGGGTAATACAATAAAATTTAATAATATAATAAATTAAATCTATTTTGATAAAAATAACTTAGCTAGATATTTTGGTCAGATATATTTAATTTTACTCAACTGTTTAATTATCAGATTAATTATTTTATATTTTGGATCAAATATCATAAAATTAATTAATTAATAATCATTTAAAATTTTATGAGAATTAAGCAAAATATGGAAGAAAATATAATTACCTTTTTTATTAATCTTTAAAATATCTCTTTAAGTACTTTAATTTTAATATTATTGAAGTGTTTTGTTAATTAAAGAATAATTGTTGGACAATTTAAAATATTTACAAATCAAAATAATTAAAAGTAGATAAATCTGGTGACATACTGAATTAAATCCATACAAAAAAGTAAAATAATTTAATTATATTTAAATATTAAGGCTTAAACCATTAATTAATTTAATTTTGCTGATATTTTTATATAGTTAATATACAAAGAACATACTGATTTTTTATGAAAAAATTTATTTTATCAAATAGGTGTGATTATTGTGAATTTTTTCACTTTTTATTTGGCTTATTGATAGGAAAAGCTTTAAATATTTTATATAAATCTATCTAAGTAATCATTCCTATAATACTTTTATTAGCTATATAAATATATATTCTTCTATTAGTTTGTTCTTAAAATTATATTGCCAGTTAATTCTTCAGATTTGATTCTATCACAAAACCTAATGGATAAGATTAAATTTATGAAATATTAGGGGCTATTATTTCTAAGAGCCTCTTTAATTCAACTAAAACTAAATGATGAAGATGGGAATCGAATTACCTTTTTATTTAATATAATATTAATTATTTTAAATTTTAAAATATTTTACCTAGTCTTCACCAATTTATTGTGATTCTAAATTATTTTCTAATGCTTACTATATAGTTAAAAGAACACCCTAAGTCCTTACTGTATTTAAATCAGATGAAACGCAGCTTTAAACTTTAATTGGTTACTGAGATTTTAAATTTTCTTCAATTTTTATACTTTATATTATGGTATTACTACATATTTATTTTTTATCTTTTATTAATTTTTGATGAATCAGTTTCCAAAGACTACTTATTCTAAGCAAATTCACAAAAGAGGGTTTAAATTTTTTGAAAAATTTTAATTCAAAAATTTTCTTGATTATTGTATTGTTTTAAAATCTGCTTAAGTTAGCTCTTTGTATTTCTAAATATAGTTTAGAGACAATTAGCAAGCCATAAAGATTAATTAATAGTATAACTGTTATTGCTAAATAATAAAATTCTTTTCCATAACCGTTTATTAATGCACAATCTTGCAAAACTAAAGAGTAGACTAAAATAAGAGTAAGCTTTTTTTCTATATTTATATAAACTATTGAATGAAAAGGCTACTTGCTTTAGACTAATATATAGTAAAATAGGCAAACTAAAGCTATTAGTAAACTTCTAATTTCTTAACTCAAAATATTAATCAATACCATAATTGTAAGCTTGTAAAGCATTCTAACTATTTCCCAATAAAAATATTTTGACTTATAACCCTACTGTACAAAATAATATGAAAGAATGTAGTTAATTTTTTGAGTTTATTTTTACTTTTAATGCTGGGACATTTTTTTATAGAGGAAAAAAGGTATCACAAAAGCCCAACAAATAGTAATTGGATATATAATGCAAAAGCTATACACTAAATGTACTTTAGTAAAGCATTCCTATTAGTAATCATTTAAAAGATATAATTTTCCCTCAATCTTTTAGCAAAGGATCAAAGATATTAGCATTTTTGATAAAGAAGGAAAGAAAAAGAGGTAAATGAAAATACAATAAATTTAACTGTAAAATTTTCTTTTCTTTCTTTTTGCTATTATTTTTTAAATCATTAAAATTCCAAGTAATATCCAAAAAATTTGTAATAACTAAAAAATTAATCTATTTAACCACACTGGATAATATTAAGACATTTTAGTAATACAATCATAACTCTTAGCAGTGACTTGTGAAGGATCTCCTCCTACATTCAAAACAGTCTATAATTCACTAATTGAATTTGAAAACACTGTAACACAAGAAGAGAATATTTATATATAACTTAAAAATATTTTAACTAAAATAGAGCTATCTTTACTAGACTCAATAGATTTATTTAGGTAAACCATCCTTAATTTACATAAATACTTTAAACGAATTACTCTCTATTTGCTTGTAATTTATGATTTTATACTCATCTAAGCATAAAAAAAGTATACGAATAAAATAATTGCAAGGTTATAAAAAACAGAATTTATGTCAGAACAAATCAAGCACTTATCCTCTTTTTTTCCATATTACATTTGCCAAATATTACCTGTATTATCGCAACTCTCGCATAAAGGACCTGTATACCCTTGTAAGCAAAAATTTATATTTTATTTAGTTTCACTACAGCCATCAGATTTACATGTGTAAATATTATCTGATAAAACAGAACTTCTCCAAAATCCATCTCTTAGTTTAAGATGGCTACCATAACAATATTAGGCTAGAGCTTCTTCTGGGCACAATTTACATTAAACTTAACCTTATTACGTATCAGGATCAACCAAAGAATAAGTTGTAGGTCCACATTCTTCACACCTATAATATGTAATTTAAAGTTAGCAGTAGTATTAGATATATAGTTTAAACTTTGTATAAATTTAATAAGTAGACTTTTATAAAAAATTTTGTAAGATTTAATTTATTATGACTAAATTAGATTTTGAAGAACCTATAATAAAATATTATTTAATTTCTGAAAACAGTCAGAAAAAATCATTTGAGATATTTATTCTTAAAAATAAAAATTATGAGGAAAAATCAAAAAATTTATTATGATCCCCTAAATTAAATTTTTTACATAACATAAGAGTTTCTTGTGATTTTAATTTCACCAATTTAGCAGCTTCTAAACTCAATTTTAAATTGTATGCTTATATTTTAAAATTAAGGAGCTTTAATTGTGAGAATAGATGTATTCTAATTTTTATAAGCAGCTGTGATATTGAGTTTAAATAAATCTATCTCACTTTACTCCAGTTCTAATAAAGTACCATTTAAAATAGATATATTGTCTTTCGAATCTAAACTAGAAACCTCTAAAGTATAATTTTTGAGCTCTAACTGAATATTCTCAGATAATGTTTCATTTCTAATATCTTAGAATTTAAAAATTTTGTTTTCTTTATCAAAAAACTGTAAATAAACTCCTTTTTTTGTGTAGTTTCCACTTTAAAATTAATCTAAAACAAATAGATTTTGATTTAAAGGGATTCCACTTTTATCTACAAACTTAATGTCTAAAGGGTCTTACCCAATGTTGTTACCATAAAGCAAGCCTATTTAAAATAAGCATAAATAATAAATATAAATAAATAAATTTTATACCTTAATTATTAGTAAATGTGTTATATGATTTTTTGATTTCTGAAGTGTATTTTGGATCTATATAAATAGCTCCACCTATAACAGCTAAGTTATTTAAAATAGTATTCATTTACAATACGAGGTTAGTTTTTTTTATAAAAAGAGCTCCTCCTTTTTCTTAGATTGCACTATTTTCATGAAATCTATTCCTATTCAGTATGCAATTATATTCTGATGATAAATATTAATTATTCGTGTTGTCTATAAAAATAGCTCCTCCAGAAGAATATAGCGATTTGCAATTAATAAAATTAGAATTATTAATTGAAATTTTATCTATAGAATAGAATAAAATAGCTCCTCCACTAGTAAAGCATGTATTATTATTGAATACAGAATCATTTATTAAAACTTATTCAAAGTTATTTACATAAATAGATCCTCCAAAACTGCTCTAAATAAAATAATCAATATTCTTTTATCCATTATTAATATTACTTTCAAATGTACAATTTGTTATATTCAACAATCCTTAAACTTTCTAAGCTGAATTATATAAACTTTCAACCTTTATCGAAGAAGTAGTTTGTATTGAGTTAACACCAATAAAACTTGTATTGTAAAATAAAATGTTTTTATTTCTATTTGAATTATTGATTATATGAATGACTGAAGATTTTCCTATTTAAATATTTTAAAAGATAGAGCTATCAACTTCTATCATATTAGATGACTGTATATTATAAATATCATTCAAAACATTTATGTTAGATATATAATTGTTAATCAAAGTAACATTCAGGCACTCTATATTAAATAGATAGGGTGTATCAACTTAATTTGAGTTCTTGAGAGTTATTTTATCTAAAATAATTTATAAATTTTCCCAAATGACATAGTCTTATTATAAAGAAGTAGCTTGAAGCACTCCGATTTATTTGGAGTTATGAATTATCAAGCTATCTATAATAACTTGTTTAGTACCTTAAAATTAAATAATATAAAGTGGAGTTTTTTGTTAAACCATTCTGAATGTATTTTCACTTAATTGTCTCTCTTCAAAATTGAAAACTAATTAGTTAAATAAGACTTAATTTGCTAACAAAATTTAGATTATATTTGTCTAAGGCTCAACACTTATTAAATCTACTTATATATTAAAAAGACTCACTTTTTAGTGAGTGTCTAAATAAATCAAAGGCTGTAAGCAGTTATAACTGTTTATTTATATATTTTAAATCACAGATTATAAAATAAATTAGTTATAATTTTAACCATTTAAATAGCTTAATTAGTTATTACTACTACTTATAATACTCAAATTTGGGTAATTGATAATTTTTACTTAATCTATGGTAACCTAATCCCATATTTATTAGCAATTAATAACAATCACTTAAGACTTGTTAATATCATCTGAATAAACATTTAAAGTTTAAAATAAAATTGAATTTAACGAATTTAACAAAAAAATATCTTTGATAAAATTAGAATTTCTGATATTTAAATTATTGACAACTATACTAGTTTATTATGATTGTTAGTTTTAAGAGTAGCTAACATTAAAAATAGTAGAGCTAATTTGGCTATCAATTATTGAAAAGGATTAAACTATGATTTTCTTTACATCTTTAAATAAAAACATCTCTAAATTCGTTAATCTTTTAATATTTTACAACTTGAAATTCTAAAAAATTAAAGTATTTATGTTTTGTAAAATAAATTGTTAATTAAATATTTAGTCATTAATTTATATGTTACTAAAAATCAAAGTATCTATTTAGCTCAAAGTAACTATGATTTACTGTGAATCAGACTAAAAGCTCACATTTTAAAACTATAAGAGTTTTAATGCAGCGCTTTTAGATATTAGATTTAGAGAGCTGACCTTTTAAAATTGTATGAAAACATTTGAGAAAAGGATTTATTAGAAGTATGATTTAATAAAACGGTTATCCTGAATATATATAGTATATTTAGGTTAATTAAAATTGTCTACGGATGAAGTATATTCTATCACATTATTCCTGCTAAAAAAATTATTATTGCATATTGGGAATGGGTTTCTATTGTTTTAAAATAAAAAAATAAATTTAAGATTATTATAAAAAAAATAAAATAATTAATTAATGTTTCAAGTTTATAAAAAAATAAATCAAAAAATTTATTTACAGTATCTTTGATGTATTGAAGAAAAGCTAGTACCTCAAATTTTAACCATTTTATTCTGTTTAAATAGCACAAATCTATTAAATTATTTAAATAATTATTGATTATAGATGAATTTAATTTAATAAATTACTTATTGAAAATCCTCGATTTAGTTAATTACTATCTAAACAAAATCTATAGATTGTATTTTATAATGTTTCGGCATAAATTAAAACGAGGTGTATGTAATCGAATACTTAAAGATCATATAATCTGAAAGTATTTGTAAGCTAATTTAGCGAGTTTAGTTGTCTGATATATTTATGACAGATTTAGGTGGAGATATTAATATTGGATTAATAATCTAATCAATAGTTTTAATAAGCTTTTTATAAAATTTTTGTATTTCATACAGCTCTATTTTATTGTTATACAAAACTAAAAAAAAGTTTTTATCAAAATTATGAATGCTATCTATTTGAGAGTCTGTAAATGCATTTGATTTGATTTCATTTATATATCTTAAAGAAATTAGGCTATAAATATTAGATTTAAAGGGACACATCATGTATATGTACTAATTATCAAGAACCACTTTGCTATTTTAGCAAGGTCTCACCCATTACTTTAAAGGATCAATGCTTTACGTATTGAACTACTAAATCTATGATAAATTAAATAAATAGGAAAGCGATTCTCCACTATTAAGAATGATAAAATATTAGTTATTTTCTTAAAATAAAGAATCAACAAAGCAAGATTAAGTGCAGACAATTTTCTATATAGTATATATCTAATAATTTGTATTAACATATACTATCTTAAAAACTTCTATTTAATAATTTTGGTTAACAGATCTTACTATTACTAAAACTGAATCATCGTTGTAACAGGAAATTAAACTTTTCTATAAAAAAAGATTTTTAATATTTTCTATATTAGAAATAAATAAAATATTTACGATCCCATTCATTGATATCTGACTAATAATTTCCAAGTTTATTAAATCAAACAAAAGGTATTACTAACCTATGTCTTGTAAAGAATCTATTCTAAATCCAATAAATTAAGGGTTTATTTCGATTACTTTTGCTTCTATATAATCAGGTCCTTGAATATTTAAACTTAATATGGTTTAAAAGGCTAAAGTCTTAGAGTTGAAAATATTTAATTCATAGATATTTTAATCATTTAATTTTACTGTGAATACATATTAACTATTATATGTTAATATAATTTAATTATTTTACATTTATTAAGTTTATCCTATTAGTAAATTACTTTTTTCAATTATATAATAAATGTCATAGCTTATGGCTATTAGTTAGTTATTATTTATTGAAGCCAACTAAAATATATCTACATCATCAATTTTAGCACTACTTCTTAGTTTTTAATAATTCACTATTTAATGATTTTGTAAACTGATAACATTTAAAGTTTTAATGTTTTGATTTATGATATACAAATTTTCATTATCTATTGTGTAGAAGCTCAATTTATTTTTAAATTCATGTATGTAATTTACTTGGCTTATATCAATCATTTTTATTTTTTAGAGTAAGGAAGTATTGTCAGATAATTGATCATTAAAAGTATAATAAAAATTAGACAAACTTTTACTATAATACATTTAAATAGTTTTAAAATTTAGGAAGTTATCTACAGAACCTTATCTATTGAAATTATATTAAATAGTCATACTTGGATATTAGAAAATTAAAATATTTGATTAGTATTCATACTCTATAATCAACAATTTATGATCTGAATCCATAAATAATGTTGGTTTATACTATTATACAGGTAAATTAAAAATATTGCAAGATTGTTATTAATAGTTGACAAACACTATTTAGTAAAAATTATAAAGAATCTCAATCTTTTATTTAAAAAAAATTATTAATGTAATTTTTCTAAATTAAAAAAAAATATTTTATTGAAAATTTTATTTAAAATAAATTAGAAAAAAAAATATTTTGAATTTATTTTAATACTTGAAAAACAAAATTTAAATTACTTTTAGTTGTTAATCTCTTCCAAGCCATGTTAAAGGTTTAGTAAATTATGCATTAGTAAAGTTACATGAAAATAGAGCATTAAAATTTAATAGATCTACTATATTAACTGATTTGTAGTCAGTAAAAATTCCTATATTATCATCTATATTTAATTGGTAAATATTAAAAATACTCTATCTGTAAACTAATTAAGAGTATAATGATTAATTTGTTAAATTAAAGCTGTTTAAATCTACTTTATAGATGGTTGTGTTAATATAAGAAATAAAAAAAATCATATATTGATAATATTAACCTACATATTAAAAACAACCTCCATCTTGCTTTATTTCATCGGATGATTTTATTAAATTTCCATTAAAGTCGTAAATAGCTATTTTCTGTGAGCTTTCAAATACTAAATATTTTTACTGTTTGGCATCTCTCCAAACAAATCCATAATATCTATCTAAGTTAAGGTTAGAGTCTATGAAAAATTTATAATTTGAAATATAATCTAAATATGAGTAACCAACTTCATCTCTAATCAAAAAATATCTCTCTTAATCACCTTAAATTAATTAAAGCATGATGCTTGAACTATTAAATTTATAAACTTGGGTGATATTACTTTAATTTTAAACAAAGTAAGTCCGATAATCTTATAAAATATCTGATACTAAAGGTAATTCCTACACAATTGAGTCATATTCTTTAAGATACAATAAATTACTGAAGGTTTATAGATTTCCATTGATATCAGTTACATTTATAATTGTACCTATTATGATAATTATTAATAAACTTAAATTTTTTATTTATTTCAGAAGTACCTTAAAATGTTTTGAAGATTCCTTATTCTAATTCAAAAATAGAAATTTTATTATTATTTAATGTCCAATTTTTATACATAAAATTAGTTTATAAGTTCTAATTAAATTGATATTGGTCCCCAAATAATTTTTCTTACAACTTATTCAAACTAAACGAAACCAAATTTATACTTAAATATGAACCTATTGAGTAAGCTATTATATTATTTTTATATTTAATTTCATTTTTAATTTCAAAATAAATGTTTTTCAGTTTTTTTGTCTCCAAATCAAATAGAATACTTTGGCTTTTATTTGACAAATAGCTCTTTTTTTTAATAAAAATTTATAATATGTAAAGTTCGTTTTAAGTTTAAAAAATGTAACTTTTTCTAAATATTTTTAAAAATATTTATTACTAAATATTAAAATATCAAATTTATTAAATCTAAAAATTTTTATAAGTTGGCATTAGATTAAAAATAAATAATTAAACAATAAAAATAATTTAAGGTTTACTAAACTAATGCTAAGAACTCTATCTGAGTTAGCAACAGGGTTGATTGAAACAATTGCACAATCATCTGAACATAGATAATATTTAGTATAAACTAATTCATTATTAGAAATATCTAGTAGATTAATATATTAATCATTTAACTAATAAATATGGTTGTATAATGCTCCATTAGATTTTTATATGTTTGTTTATTTAACTTAACAATTTGGTTATAGCACACAATAAGATATAAGTTTAGTTGGATCTGAATCTCCTTGAGAAGGGAAAAAAACTATGGTGTTAATATTTGGTAAGTAAATTATTGACCTATAAGAAATATTTGTTAAAACTTGTTATGATTAGTCTTATAAAGAGTAAATGAAAGTTTGAGAATCTATCAAGCATATTAAAGAAGAGGGTGTTAGTTAATATTATCTTACCATCTAAATTAATAAAATCTATTAAAGATTTATGCTACTCAATACTATTAAGGTTTTCTATATTTAAATAGTGAAAACTCCTACTGCACTTTAAACTGTATTAGAATCTATAAATGAATTATATGATGAAACATCTATTTTAGTGAATTAGTCTCCTTTTATTATGGCCAGATTACTTGTTAGGAAATCTGGAGTATTCATAATTAATAATTAAGTATCATCTTTGAGTTAAACATAGATTATGAAGATATTAACGAAAGTTTAATAGAGAGATATTTGATTTGTAAATATATTTAATTAATAAATAGTAAATAAATCAGCCAAATACAGAAATTTAGAAGTACCAAATGCTGAAACTATTTAAAATTAAACTGAACCTTTGATAGCAATTTATTCTTTAAATACATCAGATATTATATATTCTGAACTAAAAATAAAAGCAACTTTATTGTAAAGAGGATAATAAACAATCTATTAATATTGCTAATAGTAAATAGGATTTTTTGATAGATAGGCAAAATTTTTTGATATTATTTCATTATTCTAGCTCTTTTCGAGATTGATTTATTCAATTTAACCATTAAGGCAAAACAAAAGATTATCATTATAAATAAATTTAAATGATTGCTGTAAGTTAAAATAAGAATTAGTATAATTAAAAACAAAATTCACTTAACTATTCTTGTATTAATAAATTTAAATCCAAGTTTGATTTTATAACAAAATATAATTATCTATTATATTTATTTATGATTGCTATTATATTTCAAAATACTGTATTATTAAACTGTTTGACCAAACCTAATATTCTAAAAAAATAATTTATAAAAATTGTTATTTAAATTTAAAGTGTAATAAAAAAAATTAATTTTACAGTTTTAGAACTAAAAAATCAAGGTATCTTATAAGATAAATAATAGAACAGAAGGAATTTATATCTAAAAACTTTGTATTTACTATAAAAAAATAAAATATTAATTATTATAAAGTAAATATATTTTTTAATTAAAAAAAAAAATTTACTCTACTAACAAAAGTAGTTTTTGTAACCTAAATTAAGTACATTCTAATAATATTTAACTCTTAGGTTATTATGTAGTTTAGATTTTTATCCAAATTTTAATAAAGGATTTATTATTGAGTTACATCTATATCAGGTACTAGTATATTGGCATTCAACTACTAGCTATCCAAATAAATAAAATTAGGGAATGGAAAGGTGTTGTCTTATGTAATCATTAAATCTCCTTTACAACATATAGCATAACTTTAAATTGTGTTAAAATTTGTATTAAAATATTGGAAATTATTTAATGATAGTAATAGTATTTAGCCATCAGAATTTGTAAAAACATATTTTTATGTTAAAAAAGGAATTTAAAAAGAGGTAATCAAATAAGTTAGAGGAAATTTTATGCTTTATTCATAAAAATCAATAACTCCTATTAAGTAAGTAAATTATCCTTTTTTAAATAGAATGATAAGCTAATCATTTACAATTACTTAATCTATAATTGGATTTTATAAACTAAATATTTTATAAAGCTAAAGATTTGGGTATGTATGGAATAGATGAACTTGAGTTTTAGTTATTCCTATTACCTTTTAAATTAGAATAAAGTTTATTTTAATTTTTGTTAATTATATATGAAATTAAAAATTAATTCATTAATTTTAGCAAGATAATTAAAGTAAAAAAAATCTTAATTTAATATTGAGTATATAGAATAAACAGAATAATTTAATTACAATATCTTCGTTTGTGATTGCTGTGGTATACTTATTTATTTGTAATAAGGTTTCTAATGGTTAAGTCTGGAATACAGAAAATTAAATGTTTAAATCTTAAAATTCATTATATTTTGAGCAATTTTCATATTAAACAGTATTTAAAAATGCATAGCATTAAAGAGAACACCTATTTTAACCATTAATAATCATTTAATCTTCTTTTTTGCATCCTATGCATTAAGTTTTATCATCGCTTAAAGAAAAACTATTTATACATTAATCACATGTATACATATTTGAGCATTACAAACAATTAGGTATTGGGCAAATTTAGCAAATAGAATTCTCTTAACTTTGAAATTGTCTTATTTGGCATGTTTTTTAGCACTAAAAGTTCATGTCCTTTTATTTAAAATATTAGAATGACTGAAAAAAAGAAAAATATTACCAAATAAAATCCATCTTTGCATTTTTGGCATTCTTAATTGCTATCACATATCAAACAATTATCTATGCATTTATCGCAAAAGAGTTTATCTTTTAGATAAATTTATGTAAGATCGCAAGTTCTATCAGTTGCTTATGACCTAAACAAACTATTTATAAGTGATAAGAATAGAACTAATAATTTGTATTTCATTTCTAGCTTGCAAAATAAAAAATTTGTTTTCAACAGATGTTAATTAAGCAATTGTAAATAACTATTTCTATAAATCAAATTTATAAATAAATAAATGGATTACTATTAAGGTAAAACTAAACAGTTAAGATGAAGATTTTATGATATATTCAATAGCTACTAATTAAATTATGAATTATTTTTAGACATTTAAAGATAGTTTCTATTTTTATAAATTAAAATAATTATATCATACTATTTAAATTAAAATATTTTAAATCATTACTAGGTTTTTGCTATTTTCAAAGAATATTAAATTAAATATTTTTTTAAACTCTTATCCATTATTTGAATTATTTGGAATAAAAATATGAAGAATTGATTTAATAATTATGTAAATTTCATAGTAGATTTAAAAATTATATATTTTAATTTTATGTTTGAGTAAAAATGTTTGAAATAAATTATGAAGTTAATACATTTAAAAATAAAATACAATATTAAATTAACTCATAAATAAAATCTATTTAATTTTTACTAAAACTAAAAGTAAAATTAATATTTATAAAATTAACTATCTTAAAAAAATTAAGAAATTTATTTCAATAAAAAATATTTGTTATTATTCAAAGATTTATGATGCTGGATTCAGATTGCTAAAATATGATAAGATCACTGTTTGTTTCCTTTTTAATAAGTAAAAATTAATCTAAATATAAAAATTAAAAAATACTTTGATATTAGATAATGGAGATCTTTAAAATCTATTGTGATTTTCATTTGATTATAGCCATTTCTCATATTTATCTGTGCTATTTGTTCTATGTTAATTTGTGGTAACAGTTTGCTCATTTTTTTTAACAATTTTAGATTAAACTTTTTTCCAAAGATAACTTACTCTAAATATAGTCACATTAGGTTTTTTAAATAATCGTTAAAAGTACTTAATCTTAAAAAGAATTTTTTTTAATTTGGAATTATCATCTTAATAAACTATTAAAGTTTTTGTTAGGATAAGATATTAATTTATTACTTTTATTATTCCATAAATATTTATCAAAGATAAAATGCTAATAATAAAATAGCTTAATTATTAAGATAATAATTAAGTATCAAGAATTGACTAGAACATAAGAGATGCAACAATTATTTGTGATAAAAGTAATTCCATTTTCATTTATGAAGATATTTAGAAAGGCTTAAAGCTAATAACTAATTAGAGATATGTAAAGCAAACAAAAGTAATTACTAATTTTTAAATTACATTTGAGAAATAGCTATCTAGAACTAACATTATCAAGAACTTTTCAAACATTCTTACTAATTCCCAATAGTAATACTATTTTCTGTAGCCTTACTGTAGGATATAATAAGTTAGTGTGTATCTTATAGATTCACTTTTATTTTATTTTTACGCTCTTCTCATTTTTAAAAATAAAAGGAAAGGAATTCCTACTGTCCAAGCTACTGTTAAAGGAAGTATTATTAATATCATAGTTAAAGTATGTGTTCTTGTAAAGCATTTTTAGCTATAGTCATTGGTTAGGTAATAATTAGATCCTATTTTCTAGCACCAGCAAAGTGAAATTAAAAGCTTGGTTAAAGAAGGATAATAATATAAGTACAAGAAAACAGCATAAATTTTTCCATAAAATTTTTTTTTATTCTTTCTGTTTTTATAAATGTTATACAAGAAAATTATCAAAGAAATAAATGCTAATTAAGCTATCTACATTAGCAATCTGTTAATCCACACTATTTTTATGGGTGATCCTTTAAATATGCAATCAAAACTTTTGTAAGTGACATTTGTAGGATTACCTCCTATATCTACTGGTTGTTTAACAATTAGTGGTATATTCTCATAAAAGTTAATAGTTGTTGAGAATATTTAAATATAATGCAAGAAGACTTTAGTAAGACCTGCTGAGTCAGAACCCTATAACTTTGATTTACTTAAGTATAACATATTCAATTTTCTTAGATAATTTAATTGAATAATTAAAATTTTTTATTCTGCTTATGAATTTAAGCTGTAGTGTATATATAAAATGTAAAATAATATAGATAGAGAAGTTATTATATAAACTAGATATAATTTGGAGCATTTCAAACACTAATTACCCTAAGAGCCATATGATTCTAACCAAAAGTCTCCTTAAATATCACAAACCTAACAAAGTACTCCAGTATAACCTCTAACACACCCATTTATATTTTCTTATTAATAACTGCATCCATTGAATTAGCATTCATATATATTATCTGTTAGTTCTGATTCTCTCCAATAATTATCTTTTAAAATGATTGATCTCCCTTAACAGTACTAAGCTGAATCTGGACAAATATTACATTAAATTTAGTGGTTAGATTTATTTGGATCAGCTAAAGAATAAGTTCCTTCTGAGCATTAATCACATCTATTAATTAATTTTAGTTGAAAAAAAAATATTAATATTAATAGTTATTTATAATATTTACTAAGTATATCCAGATCTAAAATATTTGATTTCACCAATTTCACAAGGTCTAAAGTTCAGCTTTAAAGGTATTGATATTTTGCTAAATGTAAGGAATGAAACTAAACTTAGATCAAAGCTGGTTTAGCTTTTAAAAGAAGCTGTAAAATTAAGTTTGAACATATAAGTAGCCTAATCAAATTAAGCTTAATCACCAACAGAAATTGAAATTTGGTCTGTTAATTATTATTCATCGAATGCAATTTGATATAAGTTTATTTCTTACTAAATACTACTTGTAAGAATATCAAAATTATTCTTCAAAGAAAAATCAAGGGGCTCATCTTCTTCATCAAATAATTAAATATAGATTTTTTATTTAGTAAAATTTCCACTTTAAAAGTTAGATATCGTAATTGCATTTGTTTACTATTTGCTTATATGGTTAATTTATTTTATTTTTCTAGGTTAAGATCCAAGGTTTTTACCATAAAAGTGTCCTAAATTATTTAAGATTATTACAGTTGTATCCTTTTGTATTTTAGTAGTTGCTAAATCATAATAAACTCCTCCTCCAATATAAGCTTTGTTATTAATAATAGTTGTTTTATCTGTAAGTTAGATTTGATATCCTTAGATATATATTGCCCCTCCTTTCTCCATAATTGAATAATTGTCTCTAAATAAGCTGTTGACAATAATAATATTTGAAGATATCAAATAAATAGCGCCTCCACACATAGTTAAAGCTTTATTAGAAATAAATTAAGAATTTTGTATTATTATCTTCTGACTATTAGAAAAATAAATAGCTCCTCCATTTTTGAAACTTTAGTTATCTTTAAAAATAGATTATTAAATATCAATTTATGAGCATTTTTGAAAATTTAGTGCTCCGTCGTATTAAGAATCTGATTATTTATCATTATCTAAATTATAATTCATTTAATACTAAAATGTACTTTTTTAAATAGTAACTTTTTAAACTTAACTGACAATTAATGAAGGACTACTTAGATGTGATTTTATTTAATCAAATATCACATCTTATAATAAAAATTCATCCGAATTTTGTAGATATAAGGTACTAGAAAAATTTATAAGTTAAATTTATTATATTTAAGAATTTAAATATTGGAATTATTTTAACGGATTAGCTACAATTAGGTGAAATATATTATTTGCCTTCGTTATATTAAATTAATCTAAAATTAAATTTTTTGTATTAAAATTAAAAATCGGTTAACTAATAACAGCATTATTTATGTTGCTGAATTTAGATTAGCTTATATATAAGGTATTAGTTAAATAGATCTACTAAATGGTTGATTCATATGAATCAACACTTATTAAACCAATCTAATTCACTTTGTCCATAACTATATTTGTCAAAACAGCTTTAATTACTCCTAAAATTAAAATTGCATAAGAAGAGTTTGCATCATTAAGGTTTCTAAGGCGTGATTAATAATTATAATCTAATTAAATTAATTCTAGCTAATTTATTAGAATTTTTTCAGCTTATGATATTTCTAATAAGTTTGTTTTACTATTAGCTTCAACTTTTTAGATTTAAAAATTATTCATAGTTAATCTATTAGCTGCAATTATTTGTAAAATAGGGAAATTTATTATATTTTCATAAGTAGAAAATGTATCCATGATTATTTCTTAATAAAGAGATTATTATAACTAATTGTATTTAATAAAACCTAAATTATTTATGTTATTAAAATTTATCTTTATTAAATTAGCAATTTTCACATTAGTTAATTAAAAAGCATAGTAATTTTCATCATTATTGATAAGCTTTAATTAGTAGACCTCAGTAATTTTAATATTTTCCATACTTAGATTAGCTACATTCTCAAAATGAATTATTCCAATTCCAAAATATGAGTTATTTATAGTAAAGTCTTAAATTAATATTTTATTATTAACATTTAAAATATCAAAAACATAATTTGAAAAACTGCTATTAATGATAGTGACATTTCTTAAAGTTAATTAAGGGCAGTTAGAGAATGTTAAAAAATTAAAATTACCAACAAAGTTAATGTTTTTCACCACAAAATTGTTTATTATTATAGACTAAATATTCTAAAATTCGAAAGAATTATTTATATTTTCTTAATTTATTTCTATTTCATTCAAAACTAAAGTTGATATATCATGGATTAAAATCTTACTACCTTATCCACTAATTTATAAGATGGATTCTGATATTTGAAGATACTTTATTTATTTATTAGGATTGATATCCAAAGAATTATTATCTTATACAACAAAATTTAATTATAGTTTTGAAAATTTTATATTCTAAAATTAAGAAGAAAACAAATTTGAGCTCATTATTGTTAATTAATACTTCTAATTTTCGCTTGACTAAAATTCTAAGATAAAGTTAGCCCTTTAACTTAAGTTATCAGACACTGTAAAAGGTAAATTTCTATATATTAATTTAAATTTTTAAATATAAAAAAAAACTTTTTAATTTACATATTTATATCACTAGTTAGAATCTATTAATATCTAAGCATTTCAAAGCCATATACCAACGACTACTGGATAATATAATTCTATTATGGTTTAAAATTATATAAATACATGCAATAAAACCCTTATAATAGTTTAAATAATTAGAAATAAAATTTTTGATTTAATTTATAATTTTGTGAGAAAAACTAAGATGATTTTTTTATTTTTTTAGGTGTTTTGTAAATTGAATACAGAAACTTTTAAGTATATTTAAATTTTTTTATTTAATAAATTAAATGTTAAAATTTAAAAAAATTTACTTTGTATAAGTCATATTCACTGTTTATTCCAACTTGAACTAACTAATAAGAATTTTAGCTTTATTAAAATTATGATGATTTGTGCTTGACTGAAAACTAAAAAATATTTTATGACGTAACTCCGTAAATTGTAAAATCAATTTCTGTTTATTAATATGATATTTTTTTACCATAAACGCTAGGGTAATTTAGTTAATTTAATGTGAAAATTTTTTATTTAAATGTATAGTTTATCTCGAAAACATCAATTTTATTATTTGCTAATACTAAAAAGATATTTTTGTCAACATATTAAATACTTTTCATATAACTCTTTTCAGATGCTAAATACTTTATATTATTAATGTATTACATCGATGTTATATCATATATTTATGTATTTAATGGACAAATAAAATAGAGATGATAAGAATCTACTTATGTGCTTACATTAATGCATGGCTTAATAAATTTAGCAAATACTTTAACCATATTTAGATCAGAAGGGTCAAAAATGATTGGTAGAGAACTACTTAATTTATAAAGATACGAGAAGTAATCTGATAGATTTATTAATACAAACGGATCTGAGTAACCATTCAAATAGAAAATTTATTCTAAATTAAAAGATACAGCGCTTTGGATTTAGTAAGTTTAAATTTCCTAAACAGGATAATTCTAAAATGAAAAAATAATCATTGTATTTTAAGTTTACTATATTACCTGAAAATTAGTGAATAAGACTTGATAAATCGTATCCTAATTTATTTAAAATTGAATTAATTAAACTTTATTTTTGTATTAAAAACTAAAAATTTTTTTTAATTAAGTAAAATGTAATTCATTTTTAAAAAATAAATTTACTGTTTATTTTTATTCATAATTTGGAATAGAAATGAGAGACTATTTCTCTATATCGTAAAAAACAAAACTAACAGTTTCTTGAGATAATAAAATAGTAACTATATTACTATTTATATGCTAAATACTTTAATAGTTTTAATATCCTTAAATTACTATCTACTTGAATTATATAAGCGCCTAATCAAAAATATAAAGCTTGTTAGAGCTATCGATGTAAAATATAGTTTAAAATGAATTTGAAACAAAAAGTTTCTTACAATCCGATATTATATCATGTTTTATTAAACTAAAATTTTTAATGTCTATTACATGATATTTATCAAAAGATATAGCTATTAAAAGAGAGAATTGAATATTTACTATTTAATATTCATTAATAAGTTAATTGCTTAGATTAGTATCTAATTGAATTGTTTATACTACATTTTAATTTTAATTATTTAGAATGCTTATTAAGTTAAGATTAGGATTTAGTATTGCTACTTAAGTAGTTTAGAAATCAATGATAGAATATTGATTTAGTCTTTATGTATCCAAAACACTATTGATGTTATAAAAGTCATTTATTCCTAAACCCTGTGTTATAGTTAATTAATGCATAAAAAGAATAGATAACTAATCACTATAATTTAGAAACATAGGATATCTAGAAACATCGTTTATTACTAATTTTAATTTAAATTGATTAGATTATTACTATTCTATGTAATCAATCATTTATAAATTTAAACTTAAATCTTCTATCATCAATATACCATGGCCTGCATCTATAAAATACTTATCTGGTTAGAATTAAATTTCTTTTATTTAATAGATATCTTAGTAATATCTATATATCCATATTTATGGCCTATTGTAAAATAGTTCTATCTATATTTAAATTTTTAAGTTAATTAAAAGATAATAAAAAAAACTTTAATTAAATTTAAATTTTCTTTAACTTTTTAATTCTAAAAATATTTTTTATCGTTAAAATAATGTTATAGTTATGAAAAATATAAAAATTTAAAAATAGGGGGAAAATAAGAATATAAAATATTTCTTACATTATTTATGCTATCTCTTCCTATATATTTGTATCCTGGTTAAGTAGTTATTTATTTAATCAGAATAAAGTCTGATAATAAATAAAATTGCATGTTATAATCACTCAATAACAGAATGTTATCAAGAGCGTAATTAACAATACCTTGATTTACTTTAGTTTATATAATAATTTATTATATAGTTATTAAAGTTTTCTCATTTAAGTCAGGGAGAAATTTTATCAATTTTTAGTCTTTAATAACTATAATATACTAATTATAAATATAAAAATTGGATATATTTACTTCTAAGATATAATTAAATTATAAATTCCCAGATATATCATAGAAGGTTATTAAATATTTTGATGTATAAATAAAGAAATCTTATTTATTTATGGTTATTACGAAATTTATATCAAATTTGTTTTAATTAATTACAAATAACACTTCAAAATTTTAATTTCTTACTTCTGCTTACCTATTATAATTAATAAGTAAATAAAAGGCCTTTGAAGAAGTTAAAATATTGTAATCTTTTATATTATTAAGATTAATGATTTTTTAAGTATCGATTAAGTTGACTAAGTAAAAGCTTTGATCAATATTTTCACATATAAATCTGTTTTAATCTCCAAATTAATCACAATTCAGATATAAATCTGTGTTCAAAAATTCAAATTATTCTTTATATTAAAAACAATAATAAATAAGTAAATAAATAAATAATTTTATGATAAAATATTCTTACTTTTTAATACTTTGTAACTTCCGTTTGCAAAATTCATATAAATTGCAAATTTCTCTTTTTGTAAAATTTAAGCCTATTTGATGTCAGGATAAAAATTTTAATTAAATTATTAAACTTATACAAAATTAATCTATTCATTTGCTTATTGAAGGGTAAACACAACAAAATTTCTTTAAGGATATGTTAAAAAAATCAGACCATTAATGTATTATTCCACATTAGTTACTTAATATTTTAATAGATATTGTTATTAAGTATTTACATCTAAAACTATACTTTACTGTAGATCCTTATATTTTAATAGTTAAAAAAATTTTATTTTCTAAAAATTAAGAATGAATGAAAAAAATAGAAATAATCTTTTGTTTTTCTTTAATTAATTAATCAATTAATGAATAAATATTCTTTACATTTAAGAATCTAATTAAAAATAGGTTTTATTAATTAATGCTTTCAACAGTAGATACTTAATTTTAAAATGTTATTTATGTGTACTCAGTACCTTTTGTAGATAAATCTAAATATTAAACTACATTTTAAACTATACTAAAGCAATAGCTATAGACTATTAAGTCAATTTCTGACAACGAGATACTTGTTGTATCAATCTATTAATTTAATGGATTTTATAAATTATAGTATTAAAAAGTTTGTCTTGTTTAACTTCCTGGTTAAGCATTTAAAACTAATAATTTTTTTGTGGCTGAGCTATACATAACACTAACTACAGTAACTCCAATAAAAAATGAATTAACTACTGGTGGATTATTCGCGTTTTAAGATTGAATTATTGATATCTAATTATTTTACCATAAGATACTGTATATACCATCTATTAAATATATATTTTGAATTTGATACTAAGGTTAAAGCTATACTTTTTCTTAAAAGTTATAATCTAAGATTCTAATATTTGAATCACTAAATATCAATATTTAACCTTCTTTTGCTATTATATTTAGATTATTATCTTGTAATAAATAAATTGATGAAAAATTGTTTTATTAGTCTACTGTTATCAAATATTATGATTAATCATCATTTGATGTACATTTTAAAACAAGACCTAAGCTATCTTAATTAACTAACATAATATAATTAGTGTTGTAGGTATGAATTAAAACATTATAATTATCAATGTTGGTTTCAACTATTTGATTACTTGAAATTACATATAGTGTTCTTCCAAATAATAAAGAGTTTTGAATTTTACTACCAATACTTAAGTTAAAAGTCTTATCAAATTTTGATAATTAGTAGATTTAAAAGTTATATTCAAGAATTAAAATAATCTTCTGATTTGTTATTTGATCAAAAATAATTTACTAAACTTTTCCATAAGTGTGCTGTATGTTATTATTAAAAGCAAAAGATTGGTAGATATAGGTTTATTTGCCTTATTCATCTAAGCTTATTACTTGTATGTCGTTTCCTACTGAGAATAGTATTGAATTTTTAAAAAATTGCATTTAAGTTATCTATGAGCTAAATGGTATACTAAATTTAATTTGACTAAATGAACTATCATAAACAATTAGTTCCTAATTATTTTTAATGATAATACTCTATTCTCTAATGAAATATTATGTATCACTGCTAATTAATTCAATTTATATTTACAAATTACTGCTGATCCAAACCTAAATATCTTTTTATAATTCAAAGTATTATTTTTTCTATTAGTATTATTTCAAATATAGAATAAAGTAATTTAAATTAAAATAATTATGTTAAAATAAATTAATGTCATAAATTAAATAGAATTTACCTTTATCTGAGATTAAGTAAATAGCATTTTAAATCTCATTTTACTGTATTTCTTAATTGCTATAATTTATTTGTTGAATAACCTATTTAAATAGTATAAAGTTTATTATAGAAATTAAATGATTTTAATAATTTACAGATCCTAGTTAATATTATATCTAATTATCATTATCAAAATTTTAAGATAAATTATAGACTTTTAAAATTGTATTGTCATTAGATAGTGTTATAATTATACTTTATGGATGAGATAAGCTAATTAGTTTAAAATTTTCCTCAATTGGTAGTATTACTTGATTAAAACTTGTAAATTAGTTGTTAGTAAAGTAAACAATATTTGGGTCTAGTGAAGATATCAGAAGAATGCCTTCATTTTAAAAATATGAAAAAGCATTCATATCCTTAATATAGAGCTATTAAATTTAAAGAGATTTAAGCAGTAAGATGTAACAATAGGAATTACTCTTTAAAAAAAGTTAATCTTACTCTAGTATTAATTCCTAATATTGATCAGTAGAATAATAGATTTGTTTTTATTTAAAATTAGCCATATCTAATTATATTATTTATATATTAGAATAATAATTTTGAGTTTCAATATATTATCCAATTAACAAAAATAATTAATTCTTTATCAATTTAATTTGCTGTACAGGCTAACTGAAGTTAGCAGTATAAATGCTCTTCATATTTTAGAAATCATAAATGACTATCTAATAATACTTAATTCCTATTACCTATTTTTTAAAAATTTTGGGATAGTTATGTATTTTATTAATTGATTAATTATAGATTACAAACGTTTAAGAAAAAACTGATATAATTTGAATATCTATAAGATCACCATAAGAGTCTTATTTTTATGAAGAGTAATTAAAATTTGTAGCAACAAATTGAGTTTATTCTTCTTAATTATCGTTTATTTAAATTTTATTTTAGAAATAGAAATAGCCATCAAGAGAGCATCTATTATCAAGTGAGTCAAACTAGCCATAGAAATCCGAGCAATATACATCCAAACAAGTCGTACCATCAGGAGATACTTGATATCCTTACATACATTAAGTACATTGATTTGTTGATTTGCATTTAATGCATTTAGAATCAGAACATTAAACGCATTTTTAACTATTGTCATCCATAAAATAGCCATTTTAGCAGGATATTTAGCAAGATAAATCTAAATCCTAATTTAAATAAGATTTTTTAATTTTTTGTTAATTATTAAATATAATTTACTAGATATGTTCCTTTAGAGCACGCTAAACAAGAAACATTATCTTTGCAATATTAACAATAAGTTAAACAAGTAGTGCATTATTAGGTAGAATATTCTAAAAATTGCTATTCTGCCTAGCATTCTATAAAACTTTATTGTGCGATTACTAATTTCAAAATCAGAATTGAAGATGCAAGTATCAAATTTAGTTATTTTTAAGATATTTTAATTTTCATTTTGAAAACAACTTTATAAACCTTTTTATTAAATCAACTAAGTAATTTAAATATACTCAATATTTTTGATGAAGAAAGAACAATTTAAATATATGATTGCTTTGTTTGTATAACTCTTTATTTCTTTCTAATGAGATCCTTAATTAATTAAACTAATAAAACTTCTAAATTTGTAATTTTTAAATGTTTCTTCAATAATTTCAATCCTAACATTAAATATTGTTAATCCTAGGTATTAAAATATGATGGATGTAATATATAGTATTATATTTTAATATTTTGATTATGTTTAATTTAAAATCAAAAAAATAAATTAAAATATTTATGAAAAATAAGTAAAATAAACTATTATTAAAAAAAATTTATAAGTTGAATATAATAAAAAAAATATAGAGTTAAAATACAATATTCAATATTTTTAAAAATTTTTGAGTGTTTTCATTAACGTTCTGAAAGAAAATTTCTAAAAAATTTAAACCTGATGACTCTAAAAGGTCATTCTACATTATATAATATTTGAATTAAATATTTTTTTTAGAAAAATTAAAAAAAATTGTATTACACATTATTGAAAATATTTAATAAAAAAAAGCTATTCTAATTAATGTCTAGAGGTTGCTATACCACTAGATTTTAATTAGGCGTTTAGCTTTTTTATAAATCTGATTTTAAGAATCCATTTATTAATGTATTCCAAAAATTATTAGACTTTGTTTTTAATTTGTAAGTCCTTCGTTTAAATGATAGATATGAGGCTTTGTGTAAGAATTGATTCAACCATTTAAAATTTTGAGTTGGAGCTTAAGTTAAATAAGTTATAACCCTTAAATTTAGGATTTGTCAAGTATACTTAATTGTAAATAAAATGATTGCTTCACTTTATAAAAAACAATAACTTTTTATTTATATTCTTGTTTATAATATCTTCATATATTAATTACTTGGAGGAAATAAATATGACTAAAACACTTCCGCTTCTAAATATTAAATATTAATAATTATATAAACCTTAACATACTATATTAATATATTAGTAGACTATATTTTATTAATATGTGCCAATAGAGACAGTTGAATTTAAATACATATTTTATATTTAAATTAGTTGTATCGCAGAGAGAAATCAAAACATAGAGCTTCATTTATTATTGATTAGCATATATTTAAATAATTTGAATTTTCATATCAAGTAAATCTAAGGCAGACATTGATTTGTACTCATAAAATATGATATATTAGATTGTTCTTCCTATGCATAAAACATAATAGGTGTTTGAAAAGCATTCGCTGTAACTTTTTAAGCACTATTAAAATTGATCAGATTAGCTTTAAAAAAAATTGCTAACTAAAGGGCATACATCTGGTATGCTTAATTACTATGTTTACTTTACAAAACAGATAAAGACTAAATTGAGTAAGTCTTATATTTTCTTCATATTATTAATGTATTAATTAAATATCTTTAATACTAAATTAATTGATAAAAAACGAAAAAACTGCATTGAATTTACTTTTTACTGATATTTAATTAGATCAATTTATATAAACTGATAATTATTTTATGTTTGTACTAATTATTTTTACATATCTAATTGTTAATTAAAATAATATTTTAAATTTTACTGATATTAATAAATCTAAAAATGTATTTTTTTTTAAATAAAAGAAACTATTAAATAGTAAATAATACATTTTTAGAATAGTTAAAATTTTAATTTCTATTTAAATTTTTTTATAAAAGGAATTTAAAAATATGTATTATTAATACCTACTTAGTAAATTAAAATATATTTTTACCATAAATAAAAATTAATAAATAAAGTGTACAATTAATAAAAATAAAAATATTTAAATTTAAAGTATAATAATTAAAAAATGTTTATAGTTTTAGAACTAAAAAATCAAGGTCTCTATTAAGATAAATATGAGAACAGAAGGAATTTAAATTTAAAAACTTTATATTTATTATAAAAAAATAAAATTTAAATTAAAAAAATAGATTTTTCTTAACACTTAAGTTATTATGTAGTATAAATTTGTATCCAAATTTTAATAAAGGAAGAATATATTATTTAGTTACAAATATTTATTAGAACATAATTACTAGCTATCCAAATAAATAAAATTAGGGAATGGAAAGGTTTTGTATTATGTACTCATTAAATCTCTTTTGTATCATACAGCATAACTTTAAACTGTATTAAAATATTGAAAATTATTTAATGATAATAATAATATTTAGCCATCAAAATTTATAAAAACATATTTTTAAGTTAAAAAAGGAGTTTAAAAAGAGGTAATCATATAAGTTAGAGGAAATTGTATGCTTGATTCATAAAAATCTATTATTCCTATTGATTTTACTTATTTAAATAGAATGATAAGCTAATCATTTAAAATTACTCAATCTTTAATTAGATTTTAATTACTAAATATTTATTAAGCTAAAATTTTGAATATGTATAGGATAGATGTACTCGAGTTTTAGTTATTCCTATTACCTATTAAATTATAATAATGTTTAATTCTAATTTATATTAAATTATAAATATAATTTAAAATTAATTCATTTTTGTTAGCAAGAGAATTAAGTAAAAAAATTCTTAATTTAATATAGATTAGGGTAATTTATGTTAAATTCAATTACTTCTAAAAAATTAAATAATTAAATTCTTTTTATTTTTAGAGAGAGAAATCTATCATATCTAAAAATAAAGTTGGTTGAAATTAAAAATATTTTATTTTTCTAAAAATTGATTAAAAAAAGACATAGAATAAATAAAATAATTTAATTCCAATATCTTCCTATGTAATTGCTGTGGTATAATTATTTATTTGTAATAAGGTTTCTAATGGTTAAGTATATAATACAGAAAATTGATTGCTTAAATCTTAAAATTAATTATTTTTTTGAAAAATTTTCAAATTAAACCTTATTTAAAAATGCATAACAATGAAGAGAGCACATATTTTAACCGTTAACAATAACTTAATCTTATTTTTTGCATCTTATGAATTAAGGCTTATTATCGCTTAAAGAAAAACAATTTTAATTACATATGTTGATATTTCAGCATTACAAAAAATTAGGTATTAGGCAAATTTAGCAAATAGAATTCTCTTAACTTTGAAATTGTATTATTTGGCTTATCTAAAAATTCATGTCCTTTTATTTTAAATATTAGAATAACTGGAAAGAATAAAATTTTACAAATCAAACCATTTTTGAAATTATAAATATTATTGCTATCGATATAGTTAAAACCTGAGGTACTAATAAGTTAAGTACATTTAATATTTTATAACTTTTATTATACAGCTATCGAATTTTTAAAAAAATTTTTGTTTCGTTATGAATTTAATTTCCATTTTAATTTTTAAAAATTGGATAAATTATTTGAAATATTTGGAAAAAAAATATGAAGAATTGATTTATGTAAATTTCATTGTAGATTTAAAAATTATATATTTTAATTTTATTCTTGATTAAAATCATTTGAAATAAATTCTGAAGTTTATAAATTTAAAAATAAAATGCAAAATGAAATTAACTCATAAATAAAATCTATTTATTTTTTGCTAAAACTTAAAGCAAAATAAATATTAATACAATTATCTTAAAAAAATCAAAATTTTTATGAAAATAATAAATTTTTGTTATTATTCAAAGATTTATGATGCTGGATTCTGAATTCTAAAATATGATGAGATCACAGTTTGTTTCCTATTTAAAAATTAAAATTTAATCTAAATATAAAAAATAAAAAATACTTTGTTGTCAGATTAAGGAGTACTTAAATATCTATTGTGATTTTCATTAGATTATTGCAAGTTCTCTTATTTCTCTGTGCTATTTTTTCTTTGTTAATTTGTGGTAACAGTTTGTTGATTTTTTTTAACAATTTTATATTATACTTTTTTCCAAAGATAACTTACCCTAAATATAGTCACATTAGGTTTTTTAAATAATCGTTAAAAGTACTAAATTTTCAAAAGAATTTTTTTAAATGTAGAATCATCATCTGAATAGACTATTAGAGTTTTTGTTAGGATAAGATATTAATTTATTACTTTTACTATTCCATATATATTTATCAAAGATAAAATGCTAATAATAAAATAGCTTAATTATTAAGATAATAATTAAGTATCAAGAATTGACTAAAATAAAAGAGACACAACAATTATCTGTGATAAAATTAATTCAATTTTCATTTATGAAGATATTTAGAAAGGCTTAATTCTAATAACTAATTAGAGGTATGTAAAGCAAATAAGTGTAATTAATAATCTTTAAATTAAATTAGAGAAAAAGCTATTTAGAAGGAACATTATCAAGAACTTTTCAAACATTCTTACTAATTCCCAATAGTAATACTATTTTCTGTAGCCTTACTGTAGGATATAATAAGTTAGCGTGTATTTTATAGATTCATTTTTATTTTATTTTTGAGCTGTTCTCATTTTTAAAAATAAAATATAAGGAATTCCTATAGTCCAAGCTACTGTTAAAGGAAGTATTATTAATATCATAGTTAAAATATGTGTTCTTGTAAAGCATTTTTAACTATAGTCATTGGTTAAATAATAATTAGATCCTATTTTCTAGCACCAACAAAGTGATATAAAAAGCTTAGTTAAAGCAGGATAATAAAATAAGTACAAGAAAACAGCATAAATTACTCCATAAAATTTTTTTTTATACTTTCTGTTTTGATAAATATTATACAAGAAAATTATCAAAGAAATAAATGCTAATTAAGCTATCTACATTAGCAATCTGTTAATCCACACTATTTCTATGGGTGATCCTTTAAATAAGCAATCAAAACTTTTGTAAGTGACATTTGTAGGATTACCTCCTACATCTACTGGTTGTTTAACAACTAATGGTATATTTTCATAAAAATTAATAGTTGTTGAGAATATTTAAATATAATGCAAGAAGACTTTAGTAAGACCTGCTGAGTCAGAACCCTATAACTTTGATTTACTTAAGTATAACATATTCAATTTTCTTAGATAATTTAATTGAATAATTAAAATTTTTTATTCTGCTTATGAATTTAAGCTGTAGTGAATATATAAAATGTAAAATAATATAGATAGAGAAGTTATTATATAAACTAGATATAATTTGGAGCATCTCAAACACTAATTACCCTAAGAGCCATATGATTCTAACCAAAAGTCTCCTTAAATATCACAAACCTAGCAAAGTACTCCAGTATAACCTCTAACACACCCATTTATATTTTCTTATTAATAACTGCATCCATTGAATTAGCATTCATATATATTATCTGTTAGCTCTGATTCTCTCCAGTAATTATCTTTTAAAATGATTGATCTCCCTTAACAGTACTAAGCTGAATCTGGGCAAATATTACATTAAATTTAGTGGTTAAATTAATTTGGATCAGCTAAAGAATAAGTTCCTTCTGAGCATTAATCACATCTATTAATTAATTTTAGTTTAAAAAAAACAATATTAATATTAATAGTTATATTTTATAATATTTACTAAGTATATCCAGATCTAAAATATTTGATTTCACCAATTTCACAAGGTCTAAAGTTCAGTTTTAAAGATATTGATATTTTGCTAAATGTAAGGACTGAAACTAAACTTAGATCAAAGCTGGTTTAGTTTTTAAAAGAAGCTGTAAAATTAAGCTTGAACATATTAGCCGTAGAATCAAATTATGCTTATTAACCTATAGAAATTGCAATTTGGTCTGTTAATTATTATGTATCAAATGTAATTTGATATAAATTTATTTCTTACTAAATACTACTTGAAAGGCTACTTAAATTATTCTTCTAAGAAAAATTTAGGGGCTCATCTTCTTCATCAAAAAATTAAATATAAATTTCTTATTTAGTATAATTTCCACTTTAAAAATTAGATATTGTGATTGTATCAAATTATTATTTGCTTATATGGTTAATTTATTTTATTTTTCTAGGTTAAGATCCAAAGTTTTTACCATAAAAGTGTCCTAAATTATTTAAAATGATTACACTTATATCTTTTTGTATTTCAGTGGTTGCTTAATCATAATAAATTCCTCCTCCAATTTAAGCTTAGTTTTTAATAACAGTTGTTTTATCTGTAAATTAGATTTTGGATCCTTAGATATAAATTGCCCCTCCTTTCTCCATAATTGATTAATTATCACTAAATAAGCTATTGGCAATAACAATGTTTGAAGATATCAAATAAATAGCACCTCCACTCATAGTTAAAGCTTTATTTGAAATAAATTAAGAATTTTTTATTTGTATCTACTGATTATTATAAAAATAAATAGCTCCTCCATTTTTGAAGCTTTAGTTATCTTAAAAAATAGATTATTGAATTTCAATATATGTACATTTTTGAAAATTTAGTGCTCCATCGTATTAAGAATCTGATTATTTATCATTATCTAAATTATAATTCGTTTAATACTAAAATGTACTTTTTTAAATAGTAACTTTTTAAACTTAACTGATAATTAATGAAGGACTGCCTAGATGTGATCTTATTTAATCAAATATAACATTTTATAATTATAATTAATCAGAATTTTGTAGATATAAAGTGGTAGAAAAATTTATTAGTTAAATTTATTATATTTTAGAATTTAAATATTGGAATTGATTTGACGGGTTAGCTAGAATTAAGTGAAATATATTGTTTGCCTTAGTTATATTAAATTGATTTAAAATTAATTTTTAGATATTAAAATTAAAAATTGGTTAACTCATAATACTATTGTTTATGTTGCTAAAGTTAGATTAGTTTATATTTAAGAAATTACTTAAATACATCTACTAAATTGTTGATTAGAATGAATCAACACTTATTAAACCAATCTAATTCACTTTGTCCATAACTATATTTGTTAAAACAGTGTTAGACACTCCTAAAATTAAAATTGCATAAGAAGAAGTTGCATCATTGAGGTTTCTTAGGCGTTATAAATAATAATAATCTAATTAAATTAATTCTAACTAATTTATTAATATTGATTAAGCTAATGATATTTATAATAAGTTTGTATTACTATTAGCTTCAACTTTTTATATTAAGAAATTATTCATAGTTATATTATTAGCTTAATGAATTCGTAAAATAGGGAAATTTATTATATTATTAAATGTGGAAAACGTATCCATGATTAATAGTTAATTAAGAGATTATTATTATCCACTATATTCAACCAGACCTAAATTATTTGTGTTATTAAAATTTATCTGTATTAAATTAGCTATTAGTACATTACTTAAGTAAAAAACATAGCTTAAGTAGTTATTTTAATCATTATTGATAAGCTTTAATTAGTAGACTTGAGTAATATTAATATTTTACATAATTAGATTAGCTACACTATCAAAATGAATTATTCCAACTCCAAAATATGAGTTATTTATAGTAAAGTCTTAAATTAAAATTTGGTTATTAGCCTGTTAGATATCAAAAATATAATTGGAAAAATTACTATTAATTATAGTGATATTTCTTAAAGTTAATTAAGGGCAGTTAGAGAATGTTAAAAAATTAAAATTACCAACAAAATTAATGTTTTTCACCACAAAATTGTTTATTATTATGGACTAAATATTCTAAAATTAGAAAGAATTATTTATTTTTTCTTAAGTTAATTCTATTTCATTCAAAACTAGAGTTGATATATCATGGATTAAAATCTTACTACCTTATCCACTAATTTATAAAAGGGATTCTGATATTTAAAAATACTTTATTTATTTATTAGGATTGATATCCAAAGAATTATTATCTTATACAACAAAATTTAATTATAGTTTTGAAAATTTTATATTCTAAAATTAAGAAGAAAACAAATTTGAGCTCATTATTGTTAATTAATACTTTTAATTTTCGCTAGACTAAAATTCTAAGATAAAGTTAGTCCTTTAACTCAAGTTATCTGATACTGTAAAAGGTTAATTACTATTTATTAATTTAAATTTTTAAATTTAAAAAAAATAATTTATTAATTTACGCATTTAAATCATTAGTTAGAATCTATTAATACCTAACCATTTCAAAGCCATATACCAAGGACTACTGGATAATATAATTCTATTTTTATTTTAAATTATTTAAAATTAAATATATATATACTAATAGGTTAAAGTAATTTGAAATAAAATTTTTATTTTAATACTCTAATTTAGAATTTTGGGAGAAAAAAAGGATGACTTTTAAATTTTTTAGGTGTTATTTGATTTAAAGATTTTTTTAAGATTGTTTTAATTTTTTTATTTAATAATTTAAATGTTAAAAATTTTAAAAAATTTACTTTGTATAAGTCAGATTCACTATTTACTCCAACTTGAACTAACTTATAAGATCTTTAACTTTATTAAAATTATGTTGAGTTGTGCTTGACTGAAAACTAAAAGATATTTTATGAAGTAACTCCATAAATTGTTATATCGATTTCTGTTTATTAATATGATATTATTTTACCATAAACCTTAGGGTTATTTAGTTAATTTAATGTGAAAATTTTTTATTTAAATGTGTAATTTATCTCGAAAACATCAATTTTATTATTAGTTATTATTAAAAAAATATTTTTATCAACGTATTAAATACTTTTCATATAACTATTTTCAGATGCTAAATACTTTATATTATTAATGAATTACATCGATGCTATATCATATATTTATGTATTTAGTGGACAAATAAAATAGAGATGATAAGAATCTACTTATGTGCTTACATTAATGCATGGCTTAATAAATTTAGCAAATACTTTAACCATGTTTAGATCAGAAGGGTCAATTATGATTGGTAGAGAACTACTTAATTTATAAAGATACGAAAAGTAATCTGATAGATTTATCAATATAAAGGGATCTGAATAGCCATTCAAATAGAAAATTTATTCTAAATTAAAAGATGCAGCACTTTGGATTTAGTAAGTTTGAATTTCTTAAATAGGATAGTTCTATAATGAAAAAATAACCATAGCATTTTAAGTCTACTATATTACCTGAAAATCTGTGAATAAGACTTGATAAACTGTGTCCTAATTTATTTTAAAATTTAATTATTTAAACTTCATTTTATATTAAAAACTTAAAATTTTTTAGTTAAGTAAAATTCAATTGGTTGTTAAAAAAAATTTACTGTTTATTCTTATTTATAATTTGAAATATTAATGAGAGACTATTTCTCTAGATCGTACAAAATAAAGCTAACAATTTCTTGAGATAATAAAATAGTAACTATTTTGCTATTTATATGCTAAATACTTTAATAGTTTTAATATCCTTAAATTAATATCTATTTGAATTAGATTAGTGTTTAATCAAAAATATAAAGCTAATTTGAGCTATCGATATAAAATATAGTTTAAAATTAATTTGAAACAAAAAGTTTCTTACAATTCGATAATGTATCTTGTTTTATTACACTAAAATTTTAAATGTCGATGACATGATATTTATCAAAAGATATAGCTATTAAAAGAGAGAATCCAATATTTACAATTTAATATTCATTGATAAGTTAATTGCTTAGATCTGTATCTAATTAAATTGTTTTTACTACATTTTGATTTTAGTTATTTAGAATGCTTATTAAGTTAAGATTAGGATTTAGTATTGCTACTTAAGTAATTTAGAAATCAATGATAGAATATTAATTTAGTCTTTATATATCCAAATCACTATTGATGTTATAAAAATCATTTATTCCTAAACCCTATGTGATAACAAACTAATGCATAAAAAGAATAGATAACTAATCACTGTAATATAGCAAAATAGGATATCTAGAAACATCATTTATTGCTAATTTCAATTTAAATTAATTAGACTATTACTCTCCTATATAATCAATCATATATACATTCAAATTCGAATCTTCTATCAGTAAAACACCATGACCAGCATCTATAAAATACTAATTTGGTTAGATTTAAATTTGCATTATTTAATAGGTATCTTAGTAATATCTATAAATCCATATCTATTATCCACTGTTAAAAAGTTCTATCTATATTTAAATTAAAAGATAAAAAAAGACATTAATTAAATTTAAATTTTTTTAACTTTTTTATTCCAAAAATGTTTTTATCCATTAAAAATGTATTCTAATTATGTAAAAATTTAAATTTAAAAATAGGGGGGAAAAAATATATATAAGTAATATTTCTTACGTTATTTATGCTATCGCGTCCTATATATGTGTATCCTGGTTAAGTAGCTATTTATTTAATCAAACTAAAGTCTGATAATAAATAAAATTGCATATTATAATCACTTAATAAAAGAATGTTATCTAGAGGGTAATTAACAATAACTTGATTTACTTTAGATTATATGATAATAGCTTATATAGTTATTAAAGTTTTCTCATTTAAGTCAGGGAGAAATTTTATCAATTTTTAGTCATTAATAACTATAATATAGTAATTATAAATATAAACATTGGATTCATTTACTTCTAAGCTATAATTAAATTAAATATTTCCAGATACATCATAAAAGGAAATTAAAGAGTTTGATGTAGAAATAAAGAAATCCTATTTATGTAAGGTTATTACGAAATTTATATCAAATTTGTTCAAATCAAATTCAAATAACACTTCAAAATTTTAATTTCTTACATCTGTTTACAAATTATAATAAATTAGTAAATAAAATGTCTATTAAGAAGTTAAAATTTTGTAAAATTGTTTATTATTAATATTGATGATATTTGAAGTATCAATTAAGTTGACTAAGTAAAAGCTTTGATCATAGCTTTAACATATAAATCTATTTTAATCTCCAAATTAATCACAGATAAGATATTAATATATGTTCAGAAATTCAAATTTTTCTTTATTTTAAAACAATTTATAAATAAATAATAAAATTATTTTTAAATTTTCTTACTTTGTATTATTTTGTAACTTCCGTTTGCAAAATTTATATAGATTGCAAAGTTTTCTTACTGTAAGATTTAAGTCTTTTTGATATCAGGATATAAAATTTAATTAAAATCTTAAACAAATAAAAAATTAATCTATTCATTTGCTTTTTGAAAAGTAAACACAACAAGTTTTCTTTAAGGATACGTTAAAAAAATCAGGCCATTAATGTATTATTCCACATTACTTACTTAATATGGTAATAGATATTATTATTAAGTATTTCCATCTAAAACGATACTTTGCTGTTGATCCTTTTATTTTAATAATTGTAAAAATTTTATTTTCTAAAAATTAAGAAAGAAAAAAATAGAAATTATCTTTTATTTTTTCTTTAATTTAATAAATATTATTTACATTTAAGAATCTAATCAAAAACAGGTTTTATTAATTAATGCTCTCAATAGTAGTTATTTAATTTTGAAATGTTATTTATGTGTAATCAGTACTACTTGTAGATAAATCTAAATATTATATTACATTCTTAGCTATATTAAAGCAATAGCTATAGAGTAATAAGTTGATTGTTGACAACGAAATTTTTGTTATATCAATCTGTTATTTTAATGGATTTGATAAATTATAGTATTAAAAAGTCTGTCTTATTTAACTTCCTGGTAAACTATTCATTAAAACTAATAATTTTTTTGTGGCTGAACTATACATAACATTAGCTACCATATTTCCAATAAAAAATGAATTAACTACTGGTGGCATATCAATGTTTTAAGATTGAATTAGTAACATAAAATTATCTTCTCTTAAGATAGAGTATATGCCATCTACTAAATAAATGTTTTAAATTGGTTTAAAAGGTTAATAAAATATTTTTTCTTAAAAACCATAATCTAAGAATCTAATATTTGTATTACTAAATATCAATATTTATCCTTCCTTTGCTATAATATTTACATTATTATCTTCTAATAAATATGAGGAAAAATTGTTTTATTAGTCTACTGTTATCAAATATTATGATTAATCATCATTGGAAGTATATTTTAAAACAATTCCTAAACTATCTTAATTAACCAACATAATAGAATTAGTGTTGTAGATATGAATTAAAACATTAAAATTATCAATGTTAGTTTCAACTATTTGATTACTTAAAATTACATAAAGTATTCTTTCAAATAACAAAAAGTTTTGAATTTTGCTATCAAATCTTAAGTTAAAAGTCTTATCAATTTTTGATAATTAGTAAATTTAAAGGTTTTATTCAAAAATTAAAATAATCTTCTGATTTGTTATTTTATCAAAAATAATTTTTTAAACTTTTCCATAAGTGAGCTAGATGTTATTATTAAAAGCAAAAGGTTGGTAGATATAAGTTTATGTGCCTAGTTCATCTAAGCTTATTACTTGTATGTCGTTTCCTACTGAGAGTAGTATTGAATTTTAAAAAAATTACATTTAAGTTATCAATGAGCTAAATGGTAAACTAAATTTAATTTGACTAAATGAACTATCATAAACAATTACTTCCTAATTATTTTAAATAATAATGCTCTATTCTCTAATGAAATATTATGTATCACTGCTAAATTCAATTTATAGTTACAAATCATTGCTGATCCAAACCTAAATATCTTTTTATAAATGAAAATAAAAATTAGTTTTATTTAAAATATAGAATAAAGCAATAAAAATAACTAGCTTTAAATAAATTAAATATATTTTACAATTATTTGAGATTAAATAAATGGCATTTTAAATCTCATTTTACTGAATTAATTAATTGCTATAATTTATTTGTTAAATAACCTATTTAAATAGTATAAAGTTTATTATAGAAATTAAATGATTTTAAAAATTTACCGATCCAAGTTAATATTATATCTAATTATCTTTATCTAACTTTTAAGATAATTTATAAACTTTTAAAATTGTATTGTCTTTAGAAATTGTTGTAATCATACTTTATGGGTGAAAGTTAATTAGTTTAAATTTTTCCTCATTTGGTAATGTTGTTTGATAAAAACTTGTAAATTAGCTGTTAGTAAAGTAAAAAATGTTTGAGTTTTGTGAAAATATCAGAAGTATGCCTTCATTTTAAAAATATTAAAAATTATTCATATCATTAATAAGAAGCTATTAAATTTAAAGAGATTTAAGCACTAAGATATTACAATAGGATTTACTTTTTAAAAAAACATAATTTTACTCTAGTATTAATTATTAATATACGTCAGTAAATTAATAGACTTGCTTTGAATTAAAATTAACCATATCTAATTATATTATTTATACATTAGAATAATAATTTTGAGTTTCGATGTATTATCCGATTAACAAAAATAATTAATTTTTTATCAATTTAATTTGCTGTACAGGTTAGCTGAAATTAGCAGTATAAATGCTCTTCATGTTTTAGAAATCATAAATGACTATCTATTAATACTTAATTCCTATTACCTATTTTTTAAAAGTATTAAAATAATTATGTATTAATTGATTAGATAAATTCATTACCAATGATTTAGAAAAAACTGATATAATTTGAATTTCTATAAGATCACCATATGAATCTTATTTTTAGGAAGAATAATTAAAATTTGTAGCTAAAAATTGCGATTATTCTTCTTCATTATCATTTATTTAAATTTTATTTTAGAAGTAGAAATAGCCATCAAGAGAGCATCTTTTATCAAGCAAGTCAAATTTACCATAGAAATCCGAGCAATATACATCCAAACAAGTTTTACCATCTGGAGATATTTGATATCCTTACATACATTTAGAACATTGATTTGTTTAATTACATGAAATGCATTTAGAGTCTGAACATTAAACGCATTTTTAACTATTATCATCCATAAAATAGCCATTTTAGCAGGATATTTAGCAAGATAAATCTAGATCCTAATTTAAATAAGATTTTTAAATTTTCTACTATTTATAAGATATAATTTACTAGATATGTTCCTTTAGAGCATGCTAAACATGAAACATTATCTTTGCAATATTAACAATAAGTTAAACAAAAAGTGCATTATTAGGTAGAAGATTCAAAAAAGTGCTATCCTGCCTAGCATTCTATAAAACTTGATTGTGCAATTATTAATTTAAAAAAAAGAATTGAAGATGCAAGTATCAATTTTAGTTATTTTTAAGATCTTTTGATTTTCATTTTCAAAACAACTTTATAGACCTTTATATTAAATCAATTATGTAGTTTCAGTATATAAACTATTCTTATTGAAAAAATATTAATTCAAATATTAAATTTTTCTGTTTGTAAAACTCTTTATTTCTTTCTAATAAGATCCTTAATTAATTAAACTAAAAAATTAAAAAATTAGTATTTAGAAATATTTCTTCAATATTTGCTATCCTAAGATTAAATATAATTGTGTTAATAGATAGATCAATATAAAATTATAATTTTAATTGAGGTAGCATGATTTAAAATTTTATTTATATAAGATTATTTAAGATTTTTTTCTTGAAATCTTTAAAATATCATAAAACAATAATATACAACAAAAACGTTTTGGATATTATTATTTAATATTTTTAATGTATTCTAAATTTAATATTTATCAAAATTAGTAAAGTAATATAATTTAAAAAACTAAAAAATTAATAAACAATATTCAAATAAATTAATATGAATAATCATAGATCTTAAAAAATTGCTCACTAAAAAATAAAAATAAATTACAAATGAAGAATTTTAAAAAAAGATTTTTTATTTTTGAAAAAATTATGCCAAAAATTTAGAAAAAAAAAAAATTCATTAGTAATATAAAAATTATTTGAAATGCAGGAACAGCTATATTTAATAATTTAAATAAAAATTTATAATTTTAATTAAAAAATAATATTATGATTAATAAAAAAAATTTGTATTTATAATAAATTTAATTTTAGTAGAGAAATTTATAAATTACTTTCATATTAATATATTTATTTTTCATTAAATTTTAATTTTTATACTTCTTAATTTTAAAAAGTATAAAATGATGTCGAATCTTTTTTTCTATCTTTGATTTCATTTTATCATAATAGCTCTTGACAATAATTTATCTTAATCTTATTAAAATTAACTGAAATTATTGAAATTGTAGGTTACTGTATTCATTTCAAATTGAGTTTCTAACTAGGTGTTCTATAGTTTCTAGGTTTGCAAGTTCAGTTATTAAAGAGGAAATGAATTTCTAAAATTTAGTTTAGATTTATTTTTGTAAATGATTTTCCATAAATTGCTTATTCGGGATAGTGATGATTGTTTTTTATTAATATCAAATTTAATGACTTTAATTTTGTATAAAAGATGTAAAAACTTCTTTATATTTTTACTTTAAGTTTTAAAAATAAGGTTTATAGCAGAATTATAATATTAAAATATTATTCTTACCAAACAGTAAAGATTAATAAAAAATAATATCACTATTATTACAAGTATACTATAGATATCAGATTCTAAAGCATAGATTATTGTTTACAATAACAAAGAAATAACAATAACAACTTAAAGCAAAATTTCTAAATTTTGAAGTGACTTTTATTTGTATGGATTCTATTAAATTGTTCCAATTAGGTAGATAAAACAAATCAATGATATTATTTATCTTTAAATAATATTCTCAATATCTAAATTTAGAATAATCATTATTATTAATTTTTGAAACATTTTAAGTATTTCCCAATAATAAAATTTATCTTTATAGCCCTGCAAAATAAAATAATATGATAAGAAAAATTAAACTCTATCTTTTTAATTCGAAATAATTGCAGATCTAATTTTATATAAAAATATCAATGGTATTCCTAAACACCAAACTAAAGTAAGCGGATATATGATTCCTAATGAAAGAATTATATGTTCACTTGTCCAACACTATTAGGTAAGATCATTAAGCATATAGACTTTGGTTCCTATACTTTTACATATGCAAAGAGAGACAAGCAATTTAACAATTGAAGGCTAATAAAAGAAATATAGGAATATAAAATATATCTTCTTTTTATAAAAAATTCTTGACCGTTTATCCAACAGAATTCTGTAGAAAAGTACTATTGATGTTATAATAAAAATTTAGGTAATTTGCATTATAAGCCTGTTAAACCATAGCTCAGAAATTATCCAATCTTTGTAAATACAATCTAAATTTGTATAGGTTACTTACGCAGGATCCCCAGCTATTTTAAAAGTAGTTCCAATCACGTTAGGAATTTAATTATATACATCAATTGATGATGATAGTATTTATAAGTAATTAAAAAGTATCTTTAGTGTAATTCCTGTATCTGAGCCTATATATTTTGACCTGCTTAAAAATACTATACGCAATTTTCGTAAGTAATCTATTTTGATTATTAGTATATTCGTATTTATTTACTTATTTACGCTTCTTACAATATATAAAGCGTATAAAAATATTAGCAAAGTAAAATAAATATATAAATCTACTACTTTTTAACATTCAACACATTATTTACCTTTTTAAGCATAGCTATTTTACCATATTTTTCCTTTAAAATCACAAGTATTGCATAATGGACCTATATATCCTTTGATACAGCCATTTATTTAATTATAAGATGTTTCACTACATCCTATCGTATTGCAAGAATAAATAATATCCGTTTAATTTGACTCTCTCCAATAATTGTCTTACAAAATTATCCTGTTAGAATAACATAATTTTGCTTTATTTGAAGGACATCTTTAGCACTAAACAGGATTATTATTTTACCCTTCATATGGATTAACTAGAGAATAAGTGCCTGATATACATTAATCGCAGCTTTTATTTTTTTAAAATTATTAGTAACTAATAAATAAATTGATAAATAAAATTACGAAATATATCCTTGCTTTGGATATAAAATTTCTCCGATTTGACATTTTCTAAAATTGAGGATGACATCTAAAGTAAGCTACATAGCAAAAAATTCTGAATATAAAACCAGTTTGAAATCAGTTTTCTAATAATTTCCTGCTGTTATATTTAGTTAAAATAAATTGAATTTCTTTATATATTCTAACTACTATCCTAAAATTATATTTAAGCCTTTTATATCAGTAGAATTTGCTATTGATATTTAATAATTTTGTATCTCTTATTTTATGCTTAGAGAAAACTAATTAGGCGATTCTGCAATGTTAAAATTTAATATTTTATTCTCTTCATCAAAATATTGCACAAATATAGGTTATTTTGTATAATTGCCACTTTGAAAGTTTTGAATTACTATTTTGCTGTAAATCTATTTTGTTTTTAGATCGATTTTTAATAGCTTTCTAGGATACGAACCTAAATTATCACCATAGAACCTTCCTATTATAAAGATAATTTAATAAAAAGTAAAAAAATATAAATAATTTCACCTTTGTTTCCATAAATTTAGCTAGCTCTATCAATATCTATTGTATTCATTTTGTTGTAATAAACTCCACCACCCACATAGGCAATATTATTTATAATATTAGAATTTCTTATTATAACATAAGTATTATCGGAATAGATAGCTCCTCCTCTTTCCTTTTTAGATATATTATTCTAAAAGATGCATTTATTTATATTAATATTAGAGTTAGAAGCATAAATCCCTCCTCCTGAATTTTATTGAGCCTAATTTAGCATAAACTTTGTGTTATTTATTATAGATTTCTAAATTTAGGATAAATATATTGCTCCTCCGTTACCGAAGCAAATATTTTATGTAAATAGGGAATCCTAAACTAAGAAATTGATGCAGTTTTAAATATTAATAATACTGTGATCATCAAAACTTGGAGAAGAAGAAATATCAAGTTAAATATTATTATTTAATTTAAATGTACAATTTTGTATTGTTATTTAATTAACTGATTTAGTTAAGAGAACTGCTGATTTTTGATATGAAAAAATATTTAAATATTAAGTATTAAATATTTAAATAACTTAACTTTCAGTACTGTAAATAGTTGTAGAATAATTTTTCAATTAAATATTAATAAATTAGGAATTATTCATCTAAAATAATGATTAGGAATTAATATTAATAATATTACTAGAGAACGTTAAATTTTTAGCCTTTAACTGAAGTATATTTGATTATTGGTTATTTAAATTGATAGCTGGTTCATTTATATTTGATATTGAGTTAGTTATTATTATCTTATTTGCTTAGAGATTATTGCTATTTTAGACTGTGTTTTTTCCAACCTAATATTAAACTAGACTAAGCATTCCGATATTGTTGCAGAAAGAAATTTCTAAATTTGAAAGTACAAAATTGTTTATTCCACCAATACTCAACAAATATTTTTAAAATTAATTAAATAATGAAGATTCTAAATTTTTTTATTCAATTAAATGTTCATTTACATTTATAAAGGTTAATTTTGTTAAAAAGAGTTGATCTACTAATTATATTTGCATAAAGTGTGAACTATTCATTTTTTAAACTGTCATATTTGTTATTCTTACAGTTTATCCATCTGTTATCAGAATTACAGGTATCTATTATTGTATTTCATTGAAAACACAATTAGTTATTTGCATAGAATACAAAAATTAAAAGTTTATCATCATGCCTTTGAAATTTATAAAGCCCAAATTCTATTAGTTATTAAAAGTTATCTTGCTAAATAAAACTTGTTAAACTTACTAAAAATTAAACAGGTATGGATTTATTTAATTTTATTGGTTACTATTAGCATTTAATTCATTATTTATAACTTAAATCTGATTAGAAAAAACATTAACAGACTAATTGGCAAACATAAATCCTTGTAAGAATTTATTTTGTGTAATAATTATATTCTCCATTTTAAGATTAGTTAAATTGTTAACTTGAATTATATTTTGGGTAAAATTACATTTACTGATTGTAAGATTTCTTATCAATAAATTTTTGATTCCATCAAATGAAAGAAAAGAAGACTATGACTATAAAGTGATATTTTTAAATTCCATGTTATTTATGATAATATTGCTAATATTTTAAAAGAAGAATTAAGTATTGATTATTTGATCTCTAAATGTAATCTCATTCATTATAAGAGAATCGTAAGAATTCATGTAAATAGTACCACCTTACATGCTAAATTAGATAGTCATATTAGAAAATTAAAGCTTTTATAGTTATTTAAACTAATTAAAATTAAGCTAATTATTATCAGTTAAGTTAAAATTGAGAATCATGCTTCCTATTTTTAAATTCTTAAATTACTCAGATATGAATTAAGTTGATGAAATTTATAATTAATATTTTTCATTGATATTTATGCCTTTTTCTGAATATACTTCTACAATATCTGAGTTGCTGTAAAAATTAATAGCAGGGAATTGATTACTAAATATTTAATAAAAATATTTAAAATTATTTTTCGACTAACAATCAAGATAATTAATTACATAGTTGTTGGAGGTTAATAATATATCTGATATCTAAGAATTTCTAGATTTTATGTAATTTAAGACTATTAAATTATGTGCTTTAAAAAAAATTAATAAAAATTTTTTTAAATAAAAAATTACCTTGTAGTTATCAATAAAGTTTGATATTTTCACTTAAACTATATTTTAATCTTAAAATTCAACCATTTAATGCATAAATTGTTTAGATTGATAATTAATTTTAGCTTAAAATAAATTATAATCTGATATTCCATATAAGGATATTTAAATAATATTATTTTAGATGTTTATTGTATATTTGTAAATAGAAGGATTATAAATTTTTGCAAGTGATTTGATTTTTTATTTAAAATTATTATTGATTTCATATAAATCTAATTAACTTTAGAGTTTTACTATAAATATATTATAATCAAGGAGGTATATGTCATTAATGTTTATTTGAGAGCTAACTAGATATTTAATACTTTAAACAAAAGTGATATCAGAATTATAAATAAAAGCAGCAAAGGGGCATATGAAATAAAAATAGTCTTTTTCTACTTTTATTTAAGTATTACTAGAGCATGGCAAAGCTAGCTACTTAATTTAAATATTTTAAGAAACTTAATCTAAATTTTAAGTTTCTTTAATTTTCCAAAACTGAATAAATAAATTATCTGTCATAGTCATAATATAAATGCTATTTACCTAATTAAAATTTTATTAATTAAATATTTGCTTGATTTAGATTAAAAAATTTTATTTAAAATTATAGTAAATGTATTTATCATCGTTTTAACTAAATTAAAATATCTAGAGGATTGTTAAATCATATGAAGAAGTTTTTGAAACTATTACAAAATTCTTTATTTTTAAATCTACTATCTGTCCCTAATTATTATAATAATTTTTATTGAATTTTACTTTAATTTCTAAAAAATTTAAAAAATAAAAATATTTTAAAAGGTATTTTGATTTTCTTAATTAAAATAAAAAATGTTATACTTCATTAAGAGTTAGAGGTACATTTTGCAATAGGATTGTATCATATACAAAAAATTAATATAGAGTATTATTTAGCACAGATATACCAATAAACCTTTCATTTACTATGGTTAATTAACTTATTACTTGCTAATCTTTCTTTAATTGGATAAATTATTACTATTGAGAGCAGAAAAAATAAACTTGTTAATTTATATTACTATAAACTAGTATTTCATATTTGTTAGATATATAAACATTTTAAACTCCAGAAAGATAAATAAATTCGATAATCTTCAAAGGTGAGAATTAAAGAATATAATAATCTGTCTTTCTAAAACATACTATTATGTTTTCTTTGCTAAAACTAATAATCTAATATTATTGTAAATTAATTTGATCGACATTTTAGTTAAAAATTATATTATCTTTAAGTTACTATGATATGCTATCATATATAGTTATATAATTGATATCATTATTTATTGTAACTATATTATCTTTTTATAATCCAAAAGTTGCTGATTAATTTTCAGTAGCAAGCTGGATACTTTAAGGATTATAATAAAAATAATTTATGTCAAGTTAGTAAACATTAATACCGTTTGTAACTATTAAAGTACTCAAATGATAATTATAATTAAATAAAAGTGAATAATTTTACAAATTTGAATCAATTTGTATCATAAAACTACTAAATTATGTTTATCCTATATAAGATAAAATGTATGTCTGAATATCATTAATATCACAAATAATTAATATTCCTAATTCACTATCTATAAATATTTTCTTATAAGATATATCAATGCTTAAAGGAATTACTTACAGAGAGGTGTTAAATAATTTGAATAAGATAATTGCTGTAGCTTGTTTAAAAATTTAAATCTATTATAAAAAAAATATTAATATAAATGTGTTTTTATTATAAATACTAATTAAAATTACCTTATTTATTGAGTCATTCCCTATAAAGACAAAATCATTCTAAATAGGAATTTTCTAAATTTATTATAAGGTATCGATTTATAAAACTATCAAGAAGTTTTAAAACTACATATAAATTAACTTATTTTACTGATCAGCATATATATTTTTGTATTAACTATCAACAGGGAAAGAATTTATTTGAATAATCTTCTTTTTTTATATGTTAATTTATATTTAAATAACTTGTGAATTCAAAAATAAAATTAATTATTAATTATTTTAAATTAAATTAATAACTTTAAAATCTTTCTACATTACTTAAAAACCTTTCGTATTAAATACTGTAAACTTGTCTGAAGAAATAGAAATAAAATAGGAATCTTAATTTTCTTTCCAGAGAAAAGAAATATAATACTCCTTTAATCTATTTATAGTTTCTTATAAAACATTCAAATTTTAATCAAATATTATTTATTTATTTTAATCATCATGAACTAAAATAAAAACTATATCATCTGCTCTTAATACTTAGTAATAGGTAGGTGAGGATATTTTAATGACTTTACCACTTTAAACATCTATTATGATAATCACTCCATTTTATTATATTTAAACTTAAGCATATATATAAGTATCTTCAATATAATTTGTGAAATTAAGTTATTAAATTTTTTGCTTTATCTATAAAAAAAATAATAATTAAAATATATTTTTAATTTTAACAAATGATTACTTTGAAATACTTTTTTAGACCCATCTTTATAATATTAGATTTCTATAATATCTCCATTAGGTGATCCTAATAGTTACTATGTTTCGCTACAATATACATAATCATTATCGTAAACAAAAAATGTGTTTGAAATAATTGGATTTGATACTTTTAAAACTAATAATTAATTGTAAGGTTTTTATAGAAACATAATGTAATTCTAAAAATACATTAAGGTATTTATGTTACCATTTATTTAAAATTAAGTATTTGCATGTCCATCTAATAAAGCAGCACTATACTTATCCTATATTTTATAATAATTTTATTTTTATTTAAAATAGTAGTTATATTTATGCAGAAAATATTTTGTATGGATTGAATTTTATTCAAAATATTAAAATAAAAATCCTATAAATTTTTAAAGTATTAATATCAAATGGAATGGATGTAAATTTTTATTAATAATTACATTTTTAAACCTTATAAGCAAAAGAGAATTAGAATTGCTAACTGGCTCAACTTGACTGATATTATCTGAAAAAGACATAGATGTATAAGAAAAGAAAGGATAAGACATATCCATATAATTTAAAGTTTATCCATTTATTTTTATTATAAAATTAGAAACTGCATAATCATAATAATACTCTTTTAAATCTAATGGATTGTAATCAACATATTTATTTAGATTTATTTTTTTTATAGGTTGTTTTGCCACTTAAAGTATTTAAAGAAATGAGATACAAAGAACTCTAATATTTTTAAATATATCAAATTTATTTATGCTAATTAATTATGTATCTATCATATTATTGCTATCAATTTACAATATATAAAGATTTCTTATTGTATTTATTACTATAGTATTTGAGTCTATTATTTAAATCGTTTAAAAGTAAGTTTCTGTTTGATATTAGACTTAGCAATTGTATTAAAATACTACAAAATAGAGTTAACCAATATATATAATTAAATTACTTTAGATTAAAACTTAATTGAAACAAGTAAATTAATAATCAGGATTATCAGGAAATTATAGTGTACATACTTATGTTTTGTCAGAAGTAATTTAAGTAAACTGTAATAATTAACAATTAGATGGGTCTGATTAATCTAACACATAAAGATTGTCATTTTCATGTAAAATGTTGATAATATGTGTAAATTTTATTTATTTCTTTTAAAATGTATTTAAATTAAGCTAATATAATTATTAATCATCTGAAATGAACAGGTTTTAAAGTATTATCATACTGTTAATTATTTTAGATCCAATTTGATCTCTAAAAATAATTTATTAATTATTAACATAACCAACTATATAATATTCAGTATCATAAATAATAACTAACATTTTAACTTTGATCCCATCATCACTGTACACTAAAGTTTATTTAAATTCTTTATTTATCTTTATTTGGTTATTACTTTGACTAAAAGATTGTAAAATTTACTGTTTTTCTTTTTGTTAGTAATATTAAATGGCATAAATTGTATTATATGCACTTACTAATATTGAATTTTAATAAAAAACTACAGTATTTATTTAAGTTCTAATAGGGTAATTGTATGTTTGTTATTCTATTTAAGAATCGCTTTGTATATTAAGATAAACTTAAATGTTTTAATTAAAATTTACTATTACGCAATCATCCTATATAAAGTTCTACAAACTATTTTCGATGTTAACTTTATAAACCTATTTTGACTCTTTCCAAATTTAAATTTCTTTATTTTATTTTAAGATTAAATTTTATAAATATTTTATTTTTTTCCAAAAAAAATTTACCTGTATTAGAAATCAAATATATTAGATTCTTAAGATTTGTCACTTAAATATTTTATCCACTATATTCGATAACTTATATTTACTAATAATTTTAATTTTAATTAATATTTTTTTAATAAAAAAAAAATAACCTTTCCTAAAGTATAATAAATCTGATTTTAAGAATCCATTTATTATTGTATTCCAAAAATTATTAGACTTTGTTTTTAATTAGCTTAGTCCGTTTGAATGATAGATATGAAACTTTGTGTAAGAATTTATTTGACCATTTAAAATATTTAGTTTGAGCTTAAATTAATTAAGTTATAACCTGTAAATGTAGGATTTGTCAAGTATACTTAATTATTATAATCTGTAAATAAAATGATTGCTTCACTTTATAAAAAAGAATAACTACTTATTTATATATTTGTTTATAATGTCTTCATCTATTAATCGCTTAGAGGAAATATAACTAAAATACTTCCGCTTCTAAATATTAAATATTAAGAATTAAATAAGCCTTAATCTACTATATCATTATATTAGAAGACTACATTTTACTAATATGAAGCTATGTCAATAGAAACAAGTGAATTTAAGATATATTTTGCA